AATAGCCCAAATCCATCAAACCTAAATATAATACATGATATAACATAATCTAATATTCCTAAATTTTAATTCAAGAGTAAGGAAATTAATACACGTTACAACTTGAATGGCATTCAATTCGGATACCTATACATCGTAGGTACAATTTTTCAAATTCATCTATGCTGAATATATGAATTACGTGTTTAAATTGTAACATTTTTTTTTTTTATATTTATATTAGTAAAATGTTAAAATGTTGAAATATTAGGATATTGATTGATATATTAGGTATCTATTTCAGATAATTATATGAATACCAAATTTTAATTGTTTAATAAAATAAACACCATAATAATCAAAATGCTTAAATAATAGGTTATTGCATAGAGAATTTTGACATTTTGATAAAAAATGTATTCTTGAAAATTATGGACAAATCTTGTTATTACACCTATGCAATTATTGACAACGTTTTCAACTAATAACTGAATACGATTTGAGTTTTAACTGATATTTAACAGAAACACATTAAAAATCCTTATGTAAAATCCCATAAAAAAAATATATGTAAAAATTGCAGGTACCTATATATTATATCATTATGTTTTCTTAGGCTCCTATTTAAGCAAGTGTATACGATTCGATTTTTTCACACATAACTTTAAAAAATAAACGAAATTTTCACCTTCAATGGTGGAAATTTCGTATATCACTATCAAATGAACTTCGCTCAGAATCGTTTTTTCGTTAGCAATGGGTAATCGTTGCTTACAGATATGCATTATAAAGTCCCACCTGTACTTTACCTTCCTAACTTCCCACCTACAACATTGGATACACCCGTCCTATTATCTTAGCTAAGATAGCCTTTTAAAAATGTAGATAATAATGCAATTTATTCACTTTTACGCCTAGCTGCTTCTCCATCATGCCTAGACGGTTTTATGTGCCTTCTATAAAATTAAGTTTTAAGCGCATTTCCCTTTTACGAAATAATTAGTGATTCATATATTCTTTTACAAAGTTACAATTACAAACTCTGTTTTAACTTTACGCTGTAAAACTAACAGGGTAAAAATAATAAGTGATAAAGGATTAGGTAAGGGGTTTTATAAAATAATAGGTGAAAATTAGTCCAGCTTACCAAAAACGACTCGAAAAAAAATATTCCTAATAAATATTAAAAACTCAGAAAGAATTCCATCATAATTAGTTAATTTGAGTGCAGAGGAATGGTTCAATTATTTTTTTTGAATTTTCTGGAGTAAAATTGGATATTAAAGGTGTTGGAAACGACTAAAAGAGACTTTTTAATCATCATATATTTTTTAAATATTCTGAAGATATAATGTTGTAATGTGTCTAAAACTATTTTTAATTCTGATCTATAAAATATTTTTATATCAAAATCGTTTGTAAATTTGAATTTGATGAAAATTGTAATTGAGATCTATGTCTAATTTACAAGCAAATTATATTGAAAATTCTATACGGTTCTCCATGCCTATATTATTGTGATTAAAAAATGTAAATGATTAATGAAAATATAATAACTTAAATAAATACTTACTTAATAATATGAAGTATCAACTATCAATTGACAAAATGGATACACGCTTGTACCCATTTCCTATTTTTCCTTTTATACGTGTACCAATAAGAAAAATCATGGTTTGCAGGCACACGACCTCAAACATGACATATTAACGTTATTAAGTTATTAATATTTATTTGATTTTTTATAATATTTTGATACCCAAAGACAGACAAAAAAAAAGACAAGCTTAATATTGCTGTTTGCGTGCAGCGAGTGCACAAATTTATTTTTATATTGATTAGTACCAATCATAGACCATAAACTCATATACCATATATTATATGACATACAATGTTTACAATATTGTCGCCATCATAAACATGTCTATGGTCACCATGGCCCATTAATCATTATTGCAGATCACATATCAGTAAAGTTATCCTTTAAAACACTGGTGGCGCGAAGGAGGTATATTTGAATCACGCGATTTTCAAAAAAAATGGTTGTGCAGAAATATAACAAAAAATATTGTTTTTACAAAATAAAAGTCATTGAAAGAATTTCAGACTGCGAAATTTGATAAATTTTACTAAAAACCACCAAGGAAACCTGATTTTAGGTTCTGAGTGAAACGAAGAAGCTTAGGGTTTAACAAAGATGTTTTTTTTTTATCTGTTAACAATTAAGTTCTAAGTGTAACACCGTTACTAAAAGGAAATCGGTATGGAGAGGTATTTTAGGGAAGTCATTTCTTGATTTTTTTAAAAGTTTTCTCATAAAATTTGAAAAACCAAAAAAAAAAAAAACAAGAAATTATAAGAAATGTAGGTATAAGTTAAAATATATTACGGCATTCTTTTTTTCTGTTCACAACTTTTCTACCAGAAATTTTGCTCCAACTTTTAATGATAGCAATGTTTTTAAAAAGAAATTTCACTAGGGAAGTACTTTAAAGTGGTCGTTTTTAGATTTTCTCAGGAGTTTTCCGAGAAATGTGAAAAACCGGGATAAAATATGAGAAAACCGTGAAAAACGTAGGAAAACTGGAAAAATCGATACAACTTTAAACAAATATTATTATATAAAATATACAAAGCTTAGTTAATTATTTTACTATAAAATGACATATATATTGTTAACAAAGCATCACTATTAATTGAACTCTGTTCAGAATGGTTTTCTTGTAAGCAATGGCTTATCATTGCTTACAGGTACACATTAAATTATCTATAACATAAACTGCTCCCACCCCCATTATCCCAGGACGTCTTTTTTTATCTCTGGTTAGATTTTGGGGTATTTTTGGTAAGGGTGGATGGGTAGAAAATTAAATTCGTGATTTAAGGTATAAATACTTTGCACCATTACTGCTTACAAATATCATTCACTATAATAAGCATTATAATATTACTTATTTTATATAATTTATACATAATGGAGTGCTCTCTGCTGATATTGATATAGTTTTAATTAGGTATCTAATAATATTCAGCACTTTATCCGTTAAAAATGGATAAGTCTGTGGTAAAACCATCAAAGTTAAGACAATAACATTTCGTTCTTTTAATCATAAAATATTCAAAAAATATTGTATGTAGAAAAGTAGACGAAGTCGTGGTGGGCAGAGCCTCTATGTTATATTTTCTCAATGATTTAACCATGTACCAATTTAATCAGATTTTTATTTGGTGAATATTTCAACTTACAACCGCACACTATGTGTTAGCCAATTGCTATTTAGGAGGTTCAAGAGTTTCCGGAGTGTCAAGCCGGTCCGGCGTTTCCCGTGTCGTTCTAAGGACCACAAGCACCGCCGGACCCCGAACACGGAGCCTCGCGTACCAATGGGTTAGGGCCAAGCGCCACCCGTCCCCCGCCGTTGGTACGGCTGCAGCCTACCTCACTGCTTTCCATTTTTGGTCCCGGACAACCTTCAGTGTGGTGTTAGCCCGCCGAGTAGGCTCCAGAGAAATACCGCGGTTCGCAGCCATGGCTGCTTGCGAGGCCGTTCGACCTAGAGCTTTCCACGAGTTAGCATGACCCATAACCACATAGTCAGTCCAGTGACAGCCACCACGAAACCATTCCGCCGTTTGCCGAAATCAGAAGTCGGCCGTCGTGACGGGTCGCCACCCCAAGATGCTCGAGGCAGCGTGGGCTCCCGCCATCCCGTGGTACCAGCCTTGCCATTTCTGGTGGGATGCTCGACCGGGAGCATCGTCAGGTTTTAGCCTTCCGCTGTCAGTCTTCCCGGATTGGAGAGGCATCCCTGAGCTCTGGGTAGGCTCTTATTAATCATGCACCAATGAATTTTTTTAGAACTACATCACTGCTAGGGGTGGCAACGATATATATCAAATATATCAATACTTTATGTCGATATAAATTTTCCATTTTTGTATTGAAACTTTTTTATTGATATATTGAGGCAATATACTTACTATTTTTAACTAATTTTGAAACTACTCTAGCTAGACCTAGACTCTAGGGAAACTTTTACTTTTATTAATAAAATAAGATCTACTATCTCTACCATCAACTTGTTTATCCTTTTTATTCAAACAAAATTATTTTTCCTAGCTTTAACATTTGCAAGATTACAAACTTTAAAAGGACCCTTTACCTGCATAGGCTGTTTCAGTCTAACTAATTTTGGTTTCAGAGTCATTGCAGATATAACAAAATTAAAAGAAGGCAATATTTCGGAGAACAAGACAATGCGTTTCTTTTTTTAAATTTCTTTTTTTGAAATATTACAGTAATTTAAAACCGATGAATTAGTTTTTATTTCTAAACAATATATTAAATAAAATATCTGACATAATAGTTAAAATAGGAAAAACTCATATCATATCCTCTTTTAATTTTACTCTTAAACCCAAATGAAGAGAGTTTTACCCAGTCTGCTTAATGCAGATTTTGCTATATTGCCTGTTAGTTAGACTGAGACAACACCTGTAGGTATAGGGTCTTCTTAAGTCAAAATATTTTACATATTCACTTTCCATGCTCAAAGTCCTTACTATACATCATTTACTCATATCATCCAGAGGTTAATTTAACAACGCCTTATGATAAAGTAGGAATTTAGAATTTAAAATTCATCACAACAATACAAACTTAATAATCATTTTTTAATTTAAATTGTATTTATTTTATTACAACAAATTAATCTTGGCAGAAGCATCATATAAACAATTAGGATAAGATATAAAATCTACCTACCCCATTTCACAACTCTATTCGTCAACATCTCCCTCACTATTAAAACTAACACTATATATAATCATAAACATATACATTTAAATATAATTAAATTGAAATCGTTTAATAATATGTTTTTAAATTTAAAATTTTGGCGAGTATTTAAAAATTGATCATATTGTAGATAAATGTTTGACCATCCCTGAATAATTAGGATGAAGGTGAAGGAAAAGAAAAAGAAATGTTTGCTAATGGGAAGTATTTATAAATAGAGATTTTAATTATTGTAATATTTGCTACATAATATATTATCTTCATTGATTAGAAAATATGCTTTAAATGGTTCCATCATTAAGAGTTTTGACAAAAATGTATAATCTGGCCATAAATTCTCTACTGTTATATCACTAATATTCACCCATTTGCTGTCTAAACAAAAAATAATCATCTAAATATTTTGTTAAATAATAGTAGTGAAATAAATTAGTACCAAAATCTACCTTCAATTAGTGGCGTATTTATTAATTTTGTAACATCTACTACAAAAAAATATATTTCTTGAGTACATGAATCATCAATAAATTCAATATCTACAACAGCTATTTTTTGAAACTGTTCTGCAGTCATTCCATAATTCCATTCTAAATATCTAAAACAAAAAAATTACCAAATTTCAATTATTTAAAAAAATAATTAAAGTAAAAATTGTCTTCAACTAACCTAATAGCTGAATTTTCTATAGACTCTCCGTTTCTGACCGGCTTGTGTTTTAATAAACATTTAGAACCTTCAATTTTGTTACACAAAAGGATTTGATTTTCTTTTTTTATAACAAAATTAACAAAAGTTTTCCTGGACTTTTTCATAGAATTTGATATAATGACAATGGTACTATCTAACATAGTATCATCATTTAGATACTTAAAATGAGCTTTGAATGGAATTTGTTTTTGTATCATTGGGAACCAAAATTTATGATCAATCCACATTTTATCACAAGGAGTATCTTCTATTTTGTACCACTTTATTGGTGCCATTTCTAAAATTAATTTAATTTTTTGTTTAATTAAGAGTAAAAATATTAATCATAATATGATATGTTTATCTAACCATCAGATTCAATTATTTCACCACTAAAAAGCTTACATAAATAAATATGTCCCTCTAGTAGTTCTTTTGAACCGCTATATTCAAATTCTATGATGCCAATTTTTTCTATAGAAATCACGTCTAATCCACATTCTTCTTTAACTTCACTGAAAATAAGTATGATTCTCTTAATAAGAAAATTATTTAAACATTATAATTCTCAATAAAAATAAAACTTCAAACCGTATAGCAGCATCATCAATTGTTTCATTGGGTTCTACTTTTCCACCAAAACCATTCCATTTTCCTTTACCTATTCCACGGTTTTTCATACCCAATAAAATCTCATTATTTTTTAATATCATTGTTAATGTCATTAATTTGCGAGAATAACCTTCAAATACGGGATAAGGCAACATAATTTTCAAAATCTAATTTTCTAGACAAAAAACCACAAGTAAATGCACTGATTTCTTAAAACTCTTCAGCTTGTCAATACAAATTATTTTGAACAATTTGAAAACTTAAAATGAACATACATAATATGTTGATTGTTAGATTTTAAATTATTTTAAATGTATTTTAATTTTAGTTTTTGTTAAATATAATGATCAGTCTATTACCGTTTTTATACTTCAAAGTTCCTGTTTAGACCCAAAATTTATATTATTCAGTTTGACAAACTTCAATAATTTACTGAGAAAAAGTTTAAAGACTTTAAATTAAACAGATAAATGTATTTAAAATAAAAAATTTTAATTTAAATAAATAATAATTTAGCAAGCAATTCTGTATAAACCTTAAACATATACTGTGGCACAAACCTAACCTAACTAGAATGGCATCTTATCAATTATCAAACAATATAATAATAGATAACAAAAAAATTCCCATCATAGTCATAATTCCCATATACCTAATAACTATGGACCCGGACTAAGGTTTTTCTGAGTTCATTCGATATGCAACCGATATATCTCTATAACTCTGTTTAGAGTTCAGTGGTATATCTTAAATCGTGCTATGGGACCTGTGCTATAGATAATAAATATATATTACCTACGATTTAAGATATTATATTATCTTAAGCCGTTGTTACGGTGAAAAACATAAATGCGGTAAAAGATACTCTTTCCCTAAAAATTGGTAAATGTTGTAATTGTAGTCATTCCCCGGTTATCTCTATAGTAAAAACAGCTAATGTACAAAAAGTAGTGAGACACTAAAACTAGAAGAGAGGAGGATAGGAGTAGTAAAGGAGGAATCCTAGTATCCATGTTACTATTCGCGGATTATATAGTTTCGCTCGCTATATCCAAAGAAAACCTGAATGAGCTAACTGACATTATTTTTCAATTTTTAACATTCAAATTAAATATAAATACGACAAATACAAAGGTATTAGTATGCAGCAAACAAACTTAACCAAACATTAATATATCATCTAAAGGAAACAGAATATAGAATATAGATCAATTGAAATAATTTAAATATTTAGGATGCATATTAAGCAACGATGAAAGATCGGAAAAAAAATAAGAAGCAGGATAGATAAAGCATAAAAGGCATTTATACTTAAGAATAAATTATTAACATCAAAGAATGTAGGTTTAAAAACAAGGAAACGTTTAATTAAAACTTATGTATGGAGCACAGCACTGTATGACAGTGAAACGTAGACACTTAATAAGAAAGATGAAAACACCTTATAAGCTTTCGAAATTTAATGCTGAAGGAAAACGGAGAAAATAAAATGGACGGAAATAAAGTCAAACAAAGAAGTGTAGTAAAAGTTAATAAAAGAGAAAAAATGCTGTTAAGCAATTTAAGGTAAAGGCGATGCACATGAAAGGATATACCCTGAGGCACAATGAGAAACTTCATAGCATTATCCTGAAAGGTATGATAGAAAGAAAGTGATAAAGATGAAGGCCAAAAACGAATTATATAAGTTAAATAATTAAAGATGCAAAAGTTAGTTCGTACAAAAAACTCAAGGAAAAGACGTACACAAGAGATTCTTAGAGAGATCATTTATTGTACAACAATTTATGAATTGAATGTTTAAAATAAAATAAAAATATTTAAATAAAAAAGCTATTATAAACCTATAATCAGCATTAACCAACAAACTTGGAAAATGATGTTATTTACTAGTGAAAGATGTACATTTAAGTTTAAAATGAATTTTTTACATTTACCTTGATAATTGAATCATTTTGGTAAATTACGTCATTGACCGAAAAATATTATTGTCTATTATATGTATCAGTGCTATGGACCGCGCATTCAACCTCCCTCGCCTATTGCATGACAAGTAAGCATTAGCTATTGAGTAAGAGAGATAAATATTGTTATTAGGTATATAGTTATTAGGTCTATGGCCATTCCTATAACAATTATTATGAGGGAGGCGGTGTTCCCAGAGGGACGGTAAACTGAGGCAATTTATCATTCATCACTACATCACTATATAGATAAAACGTCTCACTTTATGAAACTTGGAATAACTGTATCCGTCCCTCTTGAAACACTGATTAGGTATGGATAGCCTATCTATGTCTTTATTATCTATGAGTATACTCCATGAAGCATGGTATAGAATCACTGAACTATATACTAGTACATAATGTGTAGACCAGATATAGAACCACGATTAGATATCTTCCCGAATTGAGTCCATAGAGTTGAAAATTAATTGTTTTCATGCCAATTTAAATGACTATAACCAAGAAACTATTGATCGGATATGAATATGTATGTTACATTAAAATTTTTAGAATAATATATTATCTTTTACAAAATGGCTGTTTTCAAAATTTTAAAGTCATTTTTCTTTCAATAATTAAGTATTTTTTAGTAAAATTTAGCTTTTTTTTTTTCTTTTTTTTGATTACAGCGACTTTTTTTATCATGCTATTTCATAATATCGTATCCTCTCGATTTCATTTATATTTGTAAGTAACGATAAACCATTGATTGACGAAAGACGATTCCGAGCGTAGTTCGGTAATACATAATTTGAAGTGGCGTTTCTTTTTTGCAATTTTCATTTAAATTTAATTTTAAAACACTTATTTAAAAAGTCGTCTGATGATATTGGAAATTTGACCACGTCTAGGTAAGTCTAATATAAGTATTATTACCAAGATTCAAGTCTCTGCGTGTATTTATAACCGAATTACAGCAAACTCCCAAAAATTAAATTTCCTTAAAAGCTCAAAATTGGCTCAAAAGTTTTTGCGTTGATACCGTAAGAAAATAAATCAAAAAGCCAACAAAAATGGTATCTTGTGATTTTTCGATTAAATCATTTTCTCTGGTAGAAAATGTCGTCCGTATTTTTATAAAATTATGAAATCATGAAATTGTATGTTTTCCTACGTTTTTTTTCCACTTCAGTGCTTTTATTTAAAAAATGGCGTCGAAAATCAAAAAATGACTTCTTTAAAGTACCATCTAGATAACTTGAGCTTTCAGAAAAGTTACGTAAAAATTAGACCAAGTTTTTTAGAAAAACGTGTCCACAGACTAGAAGAAAGAAGAAAAAAAAATTAATATAGATATTTTTTGTTGCATTTTAGATAATTTTTTAAATTCAATAGTAAAGCCGTTTGCTTTGATCCTGTAGGTACCTACCTCATCAATGACAAAATTAATACATTTCCACATAAAATTCTGTTTTTCAATTATAATATATTAATATTGATCATTGATAATACTTACAATATTCAAAAAACTATTTCATTAGGTATATCTTAGTATATGTATTTTAAATAAACATGAATGAATTGGCCATTGGATATGAAGAAAAATAGATACTCATTAATACTGCAAAAATAAATTGCACTAATTAGGTATATTCAACAATGTATATATGTATAGAATATTATTTTTGAATAATAACGAAAATATAAAAATTCATTGTTCCATAATATATTACCAATAGGTATGTCATATTCTATTAGATACATTATTTATGTCTTCTGATACTGATCAAATTTAATTTTATAAGAAAAAAGAAAATCTAACTTGGACAACCCATTTAGACAACAAACGTCTTGCCTTCAACAACCACCTCAGGCAATATCATCCTTTCCGTCCAAACACGCGTCACACTTCATAATAAAGTTTTTCTCTATAAATTACTCCTTAAACCTGTCTGGCTCCATGGCATCCAGCTATGGGGTTCAGTCAAGAGCTCAAACATAAATACTAAATATAATCAAAACCTTCCAATCGAAATGGCTCCACAAGATAACCCAAGCTTTATAGGTACTATGTTTTGAATGACTTTCTCCACATCTCTATAATTCCAAACGTAGCCAAAACTTTTTATAAACGTTTCAATCTCAAATTTGCGAATCACCGAACTCCTCCTTTTCGGGACCTCTCTTTTCTTATTATTCCTGATGACCCTGGTATGTGATAAGCGTTTGAAAGGTAATTGATGTCGAGAACTACTAGCTGATTAACCACAGCCACCCACGTCATGAAGTTTTATTAATGAATTGTATCTGCTATCAAGTTAATTTGCTTACAATTAAGACTGTAATGTAAATCACATTCTACTTGTCTAATGTAATTATTGTTAAAAATAAATATACATATAGATTGCACAGTATAAAAATAAAAAATAAAACAAAAAAATCGTTGCTAATCTATAAAGATATTAAACTTCAGTTTCATATGTATCTATGCAATTATCGCTAAATTATTATAATAAAATCTCAAAAAAAAATTGTTAAAATTTATTACAAAGCGATTGTATTATTCTGAAAATTCTATGAAATTATCTACATCTGCATAATGTGCCAAATATATTAAAAAAAATTCAAGGGATGCATTTGCATTAGTAGCGGTCTTACGGTCTACGGGAAGGTGATGGGTGGATCACCCCTCCCTCTCCTTGGTCTATATTATATTACAACAAAAACCTGATAATATATCTATGTTTTGCATTATTTTTTAATTAATAATTGTGGTAATAAAGCGAAAAGAATTCAATGATTTTAATATTTTTTGGCAACAATAGGTTTCACTTATTCTATGATATGGCCATGATAATGTGGCGATGACCGAGGGACGGCATGCACCACCAACTAATATATTATTGACCGATTTGCAAAACAAAAAAAAACCGAAAAAGGACTTTTATTTTGTAATATCATTTGAAATAATTTTTTTAAATTTAATAAAACTATTTTTTTTTTTTTGATGAACACTATTTTTAAGGATTGTATTTGATATGAAAAATATTTAGCCCCCCATGATATCTGTCAAAGACCGCCACTAATTTGCATACTATTGCATCCCGCAAATGACGCCGCTTTCGAACTGAACTTATGGTGGCGGTGCGGCTATTTCGTAGTGCTCCGCCGTTCATTCATATGTTTAAATTACAACAAATAACAGTGTACATTAGAGGAAGAGGACGTACGCAAGGATAGATGCACAACTGTTGTAGTCGTCTGTGCAATAGTGGCTGTGGTACATTATTTCTGTAGGTACCGTGGTCACTGGTCGCGCGAATCGCTCGACGCTCGCACAAAACATAATACACAACAGTCATCCCACTCGGTACTCGCAAACGCGCGCGCGCGCGCTCGGGCAACACAAATACACGCACGCACGCACGCACGCAAATAGACAACACAAATATGTTGTTACAATCTATTGCATAGAACAGTGCTCGTTATTGTGCGTGCGTTCGTCAACTCGGTGATACGATTGTTCGGCGTTTCGCTGCCTCTGCCGCCGCCGTCGTTGCCGTTCTGTTTTTTTTTTGTTCCGACTTTTCTTTCATTTCTCTGCACGGTTCGCACAGTCGCCCTATAACATGTCCATTGTCGCTTGACCAGAGCGAAGACGACAATCACAAATAAATATATTATACCCCGGCGACGCATCCCGTATCAACAGTTGTCATCAAGGTGAGTAGTCTCCTCTTTTTTTTCTTTCTAGTGTTTGTAAGGCTGCAACAGTGACGGAGGCATTACGTCCTCCGACCTCCTTACTCATCCACCGTCACCGGACTCGTCGATATCGTCAGTCGCCCTGCTCGTTCCCCGAAAGTTAATTCCTGTCCCTGCCAAGCCGTCGTCCTTCGATCTTATCATTTATCATTATTGTATTAATCTCAAAACTTGTTCGCGTGACAACGAATTGTTCAAACGCTCAATGTATCTATTTACAAAAGACACAACTCTTGTCCGTCTTTCGACTTATTTAGGTTTACTCTTTTGACACCTACATTATCACATTAACTCGTTGTTAACATTAGAGTATTTAATTCAGTACACCTATTTAAATATTCGTAAAACTTGTTCAGTTTGATGTAGACATATTTTATTATTTTATCAGAACATTATACATTAAGAATTTATATACAAGTTTGATTTCCCTAATAATAAGAATGTTGATTGCCTTCGAAGTTCCTATTGAAACTACAAACATAGATGTATCTATAAATATATATATATTTATATATCTGTGACTACAAATTATATTTTTTACCATTTACTTGAATTAGTGTTCTTCTCTGGCTTTTAGGTATGTAATCAGTAAACTGTTTTCCGTTTATTGCTTTTAATCAATTCCAATGTGTCTATAACTGTGTAGGTAGGTATTAGTTATAAAGAGAATTACATTTGTAATAAAAATTAATTTTACCTTTGATAATTTAATGCATATTTACTAATCCTATTTATCTTCAACAGATACATTATTTAACATAATAATTGTCATAATTGTGTTACTGACATTATTTATGGTGGTCTCTTCTCTGTAGGATTATATTTGTAGGTAATGATCAGTAAAACATAAGTGTTTGTTGTTAGGTAATTATTAGCTGCTTAAATAGGTATTTAATAATCATACCCTATTACTCGCCTTATTATATATGTATTTCATAAGTAAGCACTTATCCCACGTTGGTACTTTAAGATAAACAATATACATTTTTGATCAAAGTTTGTTTCTAAAAATTATATGTCCTTGATAAATAAAAAATATTGTATTCGTTTACTCGTTTCTTATCTGTCTATATTACAATACCAAATGTTTTTAATGTATTGGTAGGTATTATAGTATGTTAAATATATTTTCAAAGCAAACTGGGTACTTACACTTAACATAAGCTTTAATTCAATACTAATCATAATAATTATAAGACTGCTGAAATATTTTACGATTGTTGATAAATTTCATATTAATACTGCAATTGTTTTCAGTATTATTCATCCTAAACACTTCCTTTATTTTTATTTTACATATATTTTTCTTTGCCCTAATCATGGTATTAATAGTATAATTTATGTTCTCATTATATTTTGTTATCATGATAATAGTCACATATCATTGTTAATTTACCAATAATATTTATTACCTGGACACCTAAACATACCATGTTTACCATGACCATAACTAGGGCCTATCTTTGTTATACAATGAAGTCAATTGGTTTTAGACAGTGTAGATTAATCCGCATTGGTTTTAAAAATATAAATATTTTGTATTTTTATAATGTAATCATACATATAAATTAAAGAACTAACTAATTTATATAGAACATTTAAATCCAATAGTGCATAAAAAAAAAAAAAACAGAACAAATAAGATATTTGAGGAGATAATAAACATAATATCTTGTGTTTACAAAATATTAGTAGTTTTACCTTATAGTCCCTAATTAAATATAAAATAATAATTATTGTACTTTATGGATCTACTAAACAAAATACAAGTTAACTAAAAATTTAAAAGAAAATATTGTTTGTATATTTTGTACCAATTTAAATTTGTTTAAACATTGTTCATTTAATGTTTACTACTATAACACGTTGACACTTAACAACAGGCACATTTCCTAAACAGCTATCCATGGCACAAACTATAGTAGCCAGAAATTGTTTTGGATTTTTATTCAATTTGTCCAATATTTTGTGCTGTACATTACCAAAGTTTGTGGTATTAAAAATATGATTTTAAATACTTTGTGCCAAAAAAACTTTTATATGGGAACTAACTGAGATAAATTCAAAATAGGATATGGTTTCTAAAATGATCTGTATGAGAATCCGTATATAGTTTCTGATTCTAAGTGATGCGGAAAAAACTTTCTATCAATTTAATGATTTTATGCTTGTGATTCTCATAATTAATATCATTGATTATAAATTCTATATATTACTATAGTACTAGTATTTATAATTAATAAACATCTTTTGTATTCCATTGAACACTTTCAGAACTTCTACCATATTATGCCATATGCCAATAGGCAATAACAAAGACAGCTTAGGTAATTGATTTAATTTATCAATTAGGTACAATTGCCTAGATTTATTCTTGGGTTAATTATTATAACTGAAGTTTTTTGGACAAATTATAAGGTACATTTTTATGATTTTTTAAATGTGTATTATGCAATTTTTAGTTTTAGTTAAAATTTATAATGTATTAAATGTTGTATCTTTATGATTAAGTATGACATATTTATTTTATTATTAGGTATTCAATATTTTACAAGAACTTTGTAATGACAGTTATATCTAGAATATTCTTTTTGTTTCAATAATATTAAGATTTATTTATTTTTAATTACACAAGCAATTGCCTTTTAGTATGCATATATCATTTGTACAACATTTAATAATACATGTTCTTTCGACAGTATAATATAACATTAAGTTATCAAACTAAATATAAATTAATTTAATTAGTTACCAAAGGTGGGGTCAACGTTGGCACTCGCCATTAGGCGCCTAATAATTTCTTTTTTTAAATAATTAGTAGATAAATGAGGAATATAGAGGGGTTATGGTGGTTCTTGTTGCCCACTGGGGTACCTTAAAACATATAAGTGACAATATATCAGGTGATCATCTTGTATATATGTATTTAATAATGTGACCAGCGCTGTATCTTCAAATTATGGCACCGAGACAAAACACAACACCTTTTTATAATTAATTTTTAGACATCTAGATGTATAATTTCAGATAATTTGCACCCTCTTGCTTAACTAATATCCAGGATGAGCCCTGGATTGTCCTACCTCCCCTCTATATCCAGTGTTAAATGTGACTACCTTAAATACTGTTTTATGAAGTTATTTATAAATATATTTACATTTCTATGTTTAGTTTGTTTTTACATGCTCCATACAGTCATAAATTATTATTTTATCTAAGATAAAATGTATCTATTGACTTATTTAATAAATAAAATAAAATAAATTGTATGGTAAAAGATGTATGATTGGTCCTATTCTATTTACTATTTATCTTACAGACCTTTTCAATTTTTAAAATAAATGGCGAACTCAATTTTTTACTAACAGTATAGTTATTTAAGTTAAAGGGGAAAATTTAACTAAGATATACAACTCTGTGACTATTTCACTAAAAAAAGTTAAAAATTTGTTAGATGTTGAAACTTATTCATATCAAAACAAATTATATTCATTTCCATGTATTAAATGCTACAACTGGCCTCCCTACAATAAATAATAATTAATAAATCATACCATTGATTATAGATCAATGTTCATACTTTTAACAGTTTAGCAAATGATAACTACCTCTGCAAAGGTATTAATATTACAGAAGAAGTTGAATACTTAGGCATAAAAGTAAATGAAATGTTTAAATGGTCTAATCACATTCAGAATATATTTCAAATTCAAAATTTTTTTACATTTTTAAAACATTAGGATACATATAGTAAACGAATATTAAAAATTGTGTATTTTTTTCTTGCTCAATCTATTATATATGGTATGGGGTGGAACGCATTTGACTAAATTGGATGTTACAATATGAACATTAATTTTGATAGTATTTAAGTAATGTTGTATGAAAAAAGGTGTTAATCTAGATTTTATATTACTTTGTTTCCTTTCATATTTTTAATATTATTAATCATAGCTACATAGCATGAACTCATCCACTTCAAACACAAGTTACGCTAGTTATTTTCATATATTTGTATTGTTCTATAAATTGTATTGGATATATGTATATATAAATTTTGTATAGATTAGATAAGGTAAATAAATAAAATTGATAATCATTTTTATTAATTAGTACATTTTAGTGGGTAAGTAAGTATTTTAAATGGTTTTAAATTTGAATATTAATGGTTTAATTACTTATTTCTTCATTTATAGTTCAAAATTGTATTAAAATCAAAAGTTACTTATTAATATTATAATCATTTTATATTTCAAAAATGATAGGGGTAATTTAAATTAAAATATATTATACCTTATAGATATTGTTTGTGAGTAATGATGGTAGATATGTGAGTAATACATATATTATTTTGTTCAACATGCTAAAAATATTTTGAAAAAATACCTGTATGACTGATGAGCAATTTATTTTTACCTTTTACTTATTTGTATTACTAAATATTTCATTAAATTACCCAAATAGGGAAACAAGTTCTTCGTGTAGAATACTTTATGATAAGCTAAGTGTGCTTTATTTACAAAAAAGTTGAAAATCGCTGGACCAATATATTAAGTGTGTATCTAAATCTTCTCTAAAATTTCCTGTTGAATTTTAATTTATCCATAGGCAATAATAAAATATATCAGTAACATTACATTCCCACAACCTGCCTAACTTGAGTTTGTATTTCTTTAGTTCACTTAAGGTTTCAATAATCAATAAATTGTCATACTGCTGCTTGAATAACACTTATGTTACTATATTTAAATATTAAATAAGTTTATAGCGGTTTATAGGTAAGTACTTATTTAAAATAAATATTGATTAGTTTTAAAATCGTAGACAATTTTTAGGTATGGAAAATAATTTGAAAATGTAATTTCTAAATTATAATGATTTAAATAAAATCAATAGATATTAGATATTTCTATATTTTTAAATGTTAAATATTGTTAAATTACAAAACAAAAATGAGAATTTCATTGTTCATAAATAACATTTAATTGAGGTGTTCATTTTAAGTTAATAGGTATTTGGTGTGTTATATAAATAATTTTTTTTTTATCTTATTTACCCTTTTTAATGTTATCATTCAGAATATTATGTTGTTTGACATACATTGTTTTAATTAATTAGTTTCATATTTGCATATCTATTGAATCAGGTTTATCAGTGTTGTGTTTTTCTATTTCAAATTTATACCTTGAATACAAATTGATTATGTATTCAATTTTTTATGTCAGTTATACTTATATTTATTTTTTTAATTTAGATGAAAAAACGAGAAGAAATGCAAGTTAATGTGGCAGGGCTAAGGAGGAATATTAAAAACATAGCACATAATTATTCTGATGCTCAAGTTAGTATACTTTCTTATTTTATTTATTTTGCTTATACATTTTTCACTCTCACTATTATACAATACTATGTTTATCTAATTTAATGTATGTTATAGTCTTATTAGTTACACTTCAAAAACAACTCATTAATACCTATATATTTTTTACTTGTATGTGAAGATCTTTAGTTATCTTAATCTTTATAAGACATTAACACAAATTACATTTTAGGTTAAGGTACGAGAGGCCACCAGCAACGATCAATGGGGACCAAGTAGTACATTAATGGCTGAAATTGCCGACTTGACTTACAATGTAGTTGCTTTTTCGGAAATTATGGCAATTCTTTGGAAACGACTAAATGATCATGGACGAAACTGGCGACATGTTCATAAAGCCCTCATTCTTCTAGAATATCTAATAAAAACTGGCAGTGAAAAAGTATGAACAATTATTTTCTCTTAATTATATTCTTTTAATCTGTATTTTTGTCTAAGGTTGCCCAACAATGCAAAGAAAATCGTTTTTCTATTAAAACATTAGAAACATTCCAGCACATAGAGGATAATAAGGATAAAGGGCAGAGAGTACGAGATACAGCTACACAGTTAGTAGCTTTATTAGATGATGATGAACGATTAAAAACAGAACGTACCCGTGCAATTAAAGCTAAAGAAAGATCAGCTCAAAAAGTCTCAAGTTTTGGCAGTGATGGAAATGTATGCATTTTTAAATTAGTTATGGTTTAAGTAAAATAATGGTGGTGGTTATTATGTTTTTCTTTTAATTTTTTTTTTTACGCTATACATTTGGCTAGACAACTCCACAAAGTCCTAAATATCCATTGGTAAGTTAATCTAAAGTTAGATTTTTTTATTTATACCAAAATTGCATGCATTATATATTAATTATAAAACATAGTATATCAATAAACGTAAAAAAAAAACTGACTGATTGATGTATCAATGCACAGCCTAAACAATTGTGACTACAAACTTATAATTTTGAACAGAGGTTCTTTATACAATGCATGCAATCACTAAGTGTTTTATAAATTCAACTATTAGTTTTAAAGAAATTTCAATGTTTATATTGAGATCAATTTCAAAAATAATAGATTTTAGGAATTCAACCCCTTACAGATTGAAAAGGAGTGTCATAGTTAATGTGGACAAATTACTTTATATGATTAATTGGAATAAATGTAGATAGTTAAATTTAGGGGAGCATAGGAGAAATGTAATTTTGAATGGAAATTATTTTGTATTTCTAAGTTAGTTAATAAGAGTGTTTAATATTTCTGATTTTTGGAAGTACATTTATTCATATTTAGCCTACATCAATAATCTATTTACTTTTTATACCCCATTATAAAAGTGTACATAGTATACACACAAATTATGTTAAAAGTACTATACAGTACATACATACTTGCATTAAAATATGTACTTCTTTATATAATGCTATTATCTTTTAAATTTTAATATATTAACAATTTACTTACTTTTGGGATTATATATTACTATAACTTGATTGGTTTAACCTCAAATAAATTAATATTCAATCTTTAATTTTACCATTTTTATTGTTTATAAACATTAACACAGATGGTTTTAGCGTACCAAGTATTGGTGTTGCTGCTTTTAGTTGGTAGTAGTTAGGATTCTAAGTAATTTAAAATAACCAGAGTGGAAATAAGGATCGTATTGGTTTCACTATGATGTATGCTTTTTTTTGTAATATTTTGGATCTAGTACACAAGGAAGTAATTTTTTTCCTTGTATTTTTATTAATAATTAGTAAAAAAAAATTTTAACTTTTTATTTGGTCATAATTTGGTTAAAAATAATCATACAAATTAGAAATTTTCTTAGAATACTTATATAAGACTTTTATTAAAATTTTAAAATAATTAAAATATTCTTGAGAGTTTTGAGCCATTTATAGGCATTTTAAATGTATGAATCAGTATTTTGAGTAAAGTGGTGTGACAAGACCATATAAATTAGTGGTGTAAAGGAGGGGATATTTTGGATGTCTTCTAACATAATTTAGAAATAATCTTAAATTCCAATGGCAAATTTTACTTTTCTAAGTTTTGGTTTTTAAGTTTTACCGCATTCCCATTTTTGGTACCCGATTTCATTATGTTAAAGTAAAAGTGCAGATTAGTTAATCCTAAGTTACCATTGTTTCAGTTTCACCACACTTTTGGTTGAAAGTTAATAAATTATGGATCTAAGGTTAATTTCCGTTTGTGATCTGAGATAAGCTTCTGTGTGAGTGTTTTCTCCAGTTTCCAATATTTTTGTTTTCGCTTTTTTTGTATAAATTGATTATAACTAGAACATTAGAGTTCTGTCATTAATACTCAGAATTATCAGGGATTAAAATTTAGGTGTAAAGATTTCCATTAACTCTAAGTAGTGGAACTGACCCTACCTTCCCAACTCCCCAAACCATTATGGTGTTTTAAATCCAAACTATTATCCTGGTTTTTTCATTCTGTAGAAAACAATAAGTATAATCAGAAAATTATATTATTGTACCAACAATATGATATAATACAATATGCTACAAAAAAACTTTCACTGATTTTTGATTGGGGTAAAATTTCTGGTAAAAAAATCGGGTTATTAACAGACAAACAAAAAACATTATAGTAAAACCAATATATTTCACGATACACTCAGAATCTAAAATTAAAGTAGAAAAATAGGTGTCAAATTAGTTTTGAGTGTTCATGATGTACATTAATTAGATAACCTTTAATGTACATAATCTGAATTTTAAATCTGTGCATGCCTTTGGTACTAGTTATTATTACAAAACTATAATTTTTTAGACTATAAAATAATAGTTAATTTATTTTTTTGTAGTTTCGAGATTCCTATGGTCTGTATGATACACGACCTCCTGTTAAAGGTATGTTTATTATTAACAACAATTATTTGTGTTTAAACGTCAAAATAATAAAGAATGTGCTAATTTACCAAAAAAAAAAACCTATTTAATACATTTATACTATTATTCTTACAATAATATTTATATATAAAGAACTTTTTATACAGTTTAAAACCAATATGGTGTATCTTTTAGAAAACATATGTGTTAATTAGGTTTTTAAATTTATAACAAATACAATTTTTTTTTTAATTCTATACATTTGGTTATTGATTTTTCAGTGAACTATTAACCTAAATCTTATAATTTCGAAATTTACGTTTAAATAATATTTATTTTTTAATTTCCTTATTCTTTACGAAGTAATTATTCCATGTATTTTGTTTAAAAAAAAACAAATTCTCATTTTCTTAAATGTTTATAATATATTATTTTCTAAGTTTATATTTTGTCTATTAAAGCGGAATTAGAAAGTGCACGTCCACAAACTATTGGTGAAGAAGAATTACAATTACAGTTAGCTTTGGCTATGTCTAGAGAAGAAGCAGAACAAGAAGAACAAAAAAGACGTAGTGACGAGGTGCGATTAAAACTGGCATTATCTCAGAGCGAAAATGAATTCAAGTAATTACAGTTTTATTGTAATTAAAGAAAAAACAATATGTTGAATTGAGTTTGTTTTTACGAAAACTAACAGACAATATTTAAGTAGTGGTTCCGAATCTGGAGCTAATAGTAGTAATGGCAAAAGCAGTAATATGTTGGACCTGTTGGGGATCGATCTTGATAATAATGATGCAGATAAAAATGGTGCAACAGCAGCAGATCCATGGGGAATGCCAATCAAAACTCAACCTCAACCACAAGTAAATAGCAGAACATTTATTTAAAAAGATATATATATAAATAAATAATAAAAAAAATAAAAAATATATAATAATTAAATTAGTCAACTAGATTTTAGATTCTTTAAAGGGAGGGGGAGGTTATTTTATAATTTTCGTAATAATTGGAAAAAACAAGAAAATTAACGTACATGTATTTGCTCTAAATTGTTTTTCATTAGCAATGGTTAATCGTTGGGTACAGGTGTAAGTTAAATTTCCCTCTATATCTTACTCTTCCAACGTCTCATTTATAACAGCGCCCACCCTTCGTGTAAAGTATTAATTTTTATTTTATAGTTTCACTTGTTATAATTATTAACATTTTGATTATCTGAAATGTTCAATATTTCTGGTTTTCATAATTTTTTATGATTAGAAATATTATATTCAAGTTTAATTTTAGCCTTTGAATTGGTCTAATGGGGATTTAAATAATGGAGCGCCCGCACGTGCTATAGATCCTTGGTCTCCTGTTACCCACAAACAAAGTACTCCTTCCACTCTTAATGTGTTACCAAATGCAGTGAATGATGGTTAGTAAATATAAAACAAATTTATAATTTAAAAAAATATGTTATTAAATATGTTACATAATTAAGGTGTAGATCCATGGTTATCGCAAACCTCATCAGCTGCAGCAATGGCTCCACCAGATCCTTGGGCTCCTGCAACAGTTAATCAATCTTTAAGTAAACCAAATCAAGAATTTGATGAATTTGCTCTTTTAGGAAATCGGTCATTGCTAACAAGTATGTATTTAAATCAATTTTATTTCAATCATAAACATTTAGTTTGAAGTACATAGACATTTAATGTATACTTTTTTCGTTATTTAGAACCTACTCCTGATCCATTTGACTTGTCTCATTTAAACAACGAACTATTAGGAAGAGAATCACAGAGTTCAACATCGGGTAAAAAGACACCACATAGTTTCTTGGGTGAAAATTCTGCTTTAGTAAATTTGGATAACCTAGTAACAGCTCCTATTAACCCAGCACCAGTTGCACAAACAAGACCACCTGGTATGTATTATTTTTGTTTTTATTATTGTAATTATTTTCAACCTTGGATACTATTATTTAACATATTTTATCTTTTAAATATTGATATGTGTATTTTATAGTAAATTATGCATACAAATTTTGTTTATTTTTATAATAATAAAAAAATTGTATTTTAAATAATATTTAAAAAAATATGGAAAGCTACTTAGTGGCACAGTTATAACTTACACTATTAATATTGACAGTAGGATTATGTTTAAGCTTTTACCATTCTTAAGTGATTATTTAGTTATTTTTAAAAATAACAAAAATAAAATATATCCTATTAAGAAATACTTCATGGTTTTTAATTATTATAGGTATGGCAAATCCATTTGGCTTAACACCTCAACCATCATTTGCAACTCAACCAACAGCTCCTTCTACATTCAGTGGAACTTCATCTACTTTGCCACCACCACTTGTGCCGTCCCCAAATCCATTTCTTTCGTAGCAAAATTTACAGAACTCGTATAAAATAATCTATAAAACGATAATAATTACGAATATATATTTTTTTACGATTCTTTCCAATTCCCAGTAATATTAATTATAAGTTCTGTGTGTTTTTGTTTTATCTAAAATAAAATAAGAAAAAAAGAGCTTGGAAAAAATAATTTGGGCTTTAACAATAAGTAATATATATCATTAAACTTATAAATGTAATTCAGTTGTTTTAATTACAATTTATTGGTATGTATAGTTATGTGATGGAAAGTGTACATTTTTGAAAAATAGTAGAAATAATTAATATTTGTTTTGTATTTTGCAAGCTGTATGAATTATAGTACTTTTGATAGATACTTAATAAATAGTTATTTTATATCTATGTATCATTAGCAATAATTATTACCAATGATTTTCAAAATGTGAAATTAATGTTGTAAGGTAAATTTATTTATCACATCACTGAGCTCAACATGTTTAATACTTAAAATTAAATAACATTATTGTTAAATGCACTGAATATAAACTTTTTTTTTATTTGTGAGTGAATATATAACTTAGATTTTATGAAATGACGTTCCGATTATAAAATCCCTACTATTTATAACAAACAAAGGGGGTGTATTAAAATGAGTGAGAGATATATTATATTGTATTTTTTTAAATCCGTGTAGTTTTTATTTAATTATTATTGTGTATGACATTGCCTGTGGTAACTACATTGTATTGTAAAACTTAAAATTGGTAATCATTATATTATCATCATGTGGTTTTTATAACAATAATTGTTTTATTTTTCAATCATTTATTATTGCCTGGTGTATTTATATTACCTAAATATATATTATTTTATTTTGTTACATTAATGTTGACGGTGTTATTTTATTATAGCCTTTGTTTAAATGATTTACAATTGCTTTGAAATACTTTGTTTTTGTCCCATAATAGAAGCTATAGGTGTTCGACAATTATATTTGTGCTTACATAATATAAGTTTTTTCCTAAAAATGTGAAAATTGGGACTAGGGTAATGCCGACTTAGTGAGTATTTTTTATTTTATTTTTTTATTGTAATATACTGTAATAAGAAATTATAGTTTAAAATATATATACGTAAATGTATATAGCGAGGTTCATCAAATCTAATTTTTTATTAATAAACTAAGTAAGTATATAGAAACTCCACGCTATACTTTTTAATAGCTACTTATTTTTATTATTACTATCAACTACTTCAATTTATGATAAAAATTATAATTACTGTTATCTAGCGACAATCACTGTTGAATAGATCTTGTTTAAAAAAAAAAAATTAAATTTTCAATCAATTTGCCAAGAAAATTGACCTATCAAAAATTGTTTGATTAAATTAATTGTATTGTTTTTTAAACTGCCAAATATGCTTACTAGGCCGATCTGTTTTATTATTGATATAGAAAGAACAACATTATTTGTGTACTCAATAAGATAGCATTTAATTGTATACAATAAAGTATGTTTTCTTCAAGTTATTATTTTTTTTTCCGAATCCTAGTGATTATATAATCACAGTGTTGTGTAAATAAATAGTGATTTGTAATGGTATAAATTGGTATAATATTTAACCTAACTTCATATCCTGGCATATTTTTAATTCTGAGCAAGGAATGTATTGATTTTACAGGGATGTTAATTTTTTTTCTACGCTGTGTAAATAATTTCTACCAGAAATCTTGTTCCAATGTATCAGGTGTAGCATTTTTTCTGGAAGGAAATTTTATCTAGTTGATACTTTGGGAGGTCATTTTTTAATAATAATTGGGAAAAAACTAAAATTTACAAAAAAAAATGGGTTTTGTTTTTTTATTGTAATTCAGTCAAAAATTATTATTAGAGATTTGAAATTTGGATAAAAAATTTATATTTGCCTTTTATATATGTGGTAAAATTTTCAAAGCATTTGAGCCATTTGAGTTATTTATAGATATTTTAATTTTTTAATTTTTTTACATAATTTTTATTTAGTACTCTGTACACAAAATTGGTAGACCAAACAGAAAAGCTTGAAACTTTAACAAGAGGTTCATTATAAGTTGTATTTAGTGGTTAACAAGAAAAAGCTGAGTTGAATGCAGTATTTATTTTTTATAGGAATTCTAATTTTGACGAAAATCGTACATATTACGTCCTTTTAAAACATGTTTTAACAAACTCCGCTCAGAATCGTTTTTTGTTAGCAGTGATTAATCGTTGAATATAGATGTACATTAAATTCTCCTCTATATCCTACCTTTTTAACTTCTCACCTACAGCAATGTTCCACCGTATGAAGTATACACGTATACACAGTGGCGACTCATGGGTGAAATAATTAGTGGTACATATTTAAAAAATTGTGTACGATAATTACAGTCAATTCAGAAAACAGGAACTTAAACAAATATTTTATTGAAATATGAATATATTTGTATTTGTTTTATATAGTAGGTTCTTAAACAATATATTAGGGAATTATTATTTTTGTTTTTGTTAAGTTTTATTAAATAATAATATTTATTGATTGAATATAAGCCGGGTTGGTCAGTATTTTCTATGGAGTAATTTTTGAGATAACGCCGAAATAATCAATTCCCAACGCACGACGTATTCTCCATCAGCAGCGGCAGACGGCTGTACGGCCACGGAGGTGCAATATTCATTTGTGCACTAACACATCGCAAGTCTAATGGTAATTGTGCCAGTAGTGGGAATGAAACGGTCCAGTGTACATGCGTGACTGGTGCAAAAATTATATTTACCCGTCCATACTCCGTGGCTGCGGGCGCTACGTATTGTGTACAATAATACGTACTTATAATGTGCGATAACATTTGTTTTTCTTGACTTTTCGCATTAAATATTTCTACAAAATAATTTTTATTCTTGTCTCTAAAATAAATTAGAATGTATTTATATATATATATATATATGTTATATTAATTAATATTATATTTTTTTTTATTGTTGTAAAACAGCAATGTACAGGTAGTTTTCAAAATTGTAGGTGGTGCGCTGCTCCTGTGCACCATAGCACGAGCCGCCACTGAGTATACGGTACCTTATGAATAAGTATGTCCATCATTTTTAGATTCTGAGTGTATCGAAGAATATATTGGTTTTACAAAGATGTTTATTTTTTATGTGAAAATTTTTCTACCAAAAAGCTTACTCTAATACATATCTTTTTCTGAAAGGAAATTTTCTTAGAATTCTTTAGAGAGTTATTTTTTTGATTTTCCCAATAAAAAAGAAAAAGTGAGAAAAAACGGGAAAATGTACGAAATATATTAGTAAAATACCATGATTTTTTTTCCTGTAGACAACTTTTCTATCGGTAATTTTGCTCCGATTTACAATGACAGTACTTTTTTTAAAGAAAATCTGACTGGGGAAGTACCTTAGGGAGTTCACTTTTACATTTTTCTAAGAGTTTTCCCAACAAATGTGAAAAACCGAGAAAATCGGTACAATATTAAACAAATATTGTTAAAGAAAATATGTAATGCCTATTTAATTATTTTACCATAATATGACATATTTTTTATATTCTTGACAAAACATCATTCAACAATTGAACTCCGCTCAGAATTGTTTTTAGTAAGCAATGGTGTATCGTTGCTTACAGATAAAAATTAATTTCCCTTCTATATCCTACTTTCCCAACTTCTCTTCAACAACTGCACCCATCGTGCGAAATATGTCGGTCTTTTTATTTTTAATTTTATGAGTTATCGTTAAAATATAATATATTTGTACATTTCTATAGCCTCTAATTATAGGTATATGTTTATATACCTATGCAATATATGTATGTTATGTTGAACGTAGAATATACACGGTAGTTTAGTTCATATGCTACAGTAAATCATTGTAAATGAAAAATGATTCTGAGTGGTTAAATATTAGTCGCGTTTGTCCCTTATGCCCTTGTTTCTAAGAAAAAAGGATTTAGAGAGAACAACTGAAAATGTCGATAAATGTTTCAAATAGATTAACACTAGACGAAAATTTCGTTTCTTTTGAGGAACTTTTTGATACTTTTATTATAGTATTTTCGTAATAATGAGGAAAAATTGAACATTTCGTTAGATCGTCAAATATTGTAATCGGGTGACCAATGGTTCGTGCACGGCTATTGTGTGATAGCCATGTCAGTCACCTACTGCATTCACACCACATTCTGAACTCCTCATTATAACGATAGTACAATTATAAATACTATAGTAGACATAGGAATTCATAAGCAGTTGCGTTTAATAATATTAAGTTACAAAAGCAATTAATCGCTACACATATTTTTCTACCAGAAGACTTTTTAAATCAAAAATTCAATTACAGGAGTTTCATGTAGAAATCTTTATTTACATAATATAATAATAATAATAATTTATTATTTATCAGAAATAAGAATACTGTGCCCGACTGATACTCTCGTGTCGAGGGGCCCAGGATTCTAATCTATAATTTAAACAATATAATTAAATATAAATGAGTTAAAAATGTGTAAAATCTAAAATATTAAACTAATAGTTATAGTAATAAATAAACTTTAAACTATAACTATAGTAAAAAATACTTAAAAAAAAACTAAAAAAAAACTTAAAACTTCTAATCTTAGACTAAGAAATAAATAACCTCTACGAAATTTAATATGGTTTGAATTTAATATGTTTTCTGGCAACATGTTTGCAATTTTAGTTTCAACGGTTTCAAATTTCAACTCAGTAGTTGTTTTATTGTTCCTGTTTTTTACACAATATTTGTTTGCAAATTTTGTATTGACGATATGCGAGGAGTGATTAAGTAGATTATGTTTTCTTAGATAAGTAACCACGACTTTGTAATATATTTTTCTAACACTGTCAAAACAAAGAAATTGTTAAACAGGTCGACCGCGTATGTTAAGTAATCCGTATTAAGGGTAATTCTTAATAGTCTATTTTGATTATTTTGTAAACTTTTTAAGACGTTTCCATTAACCCCACCCCAACCAATAATTCCATACAATATGATGGGTTCAATGATAGATAGTCTTATATATACACTTTACGTAGTCTTCTTCTATCCAACTTCGTAGTTCCCTAAATACATAAAACAATTTTCTGACTTAATTTTATACTTGGTTTATATGCTCTATCCACCGCATGTTACCACACATTTCAATGAAATTTTTTCTTAGATCTTTTATATGTTTATTTATCATAATTTTTTTACAACAAGTCATTAGTGGCGTATAGGGGGTGTCGTTTAAGCATATAGATTCTATGTTTAGTAAAGTTTTTTTCTGTTAAGGAGTGAAACAGAATGTGAGATTTATCTAAATTGAAAATAAATTATTATCTGTTAACCATAGTTTAATTAAATTCAAATATGATTTAATAATGCGTATTATTTCATCCTAGTTTTCATTATAACATATAAGAACCGTATCATATGCATAGCATACGATTTCACTTTTAAGCGGGATTAAGAAGACGTTGCTCATTTGTATATTAAACAGTATTGGTGATATAGTGGTATCTTGAGGAACTCCATACGAGACTATTTCCTCATCACTCATGGCACCATTTATGTTTACCTGTTGTTTTCGATTATTTAAATATAATTTAAACCAAAGAAGTGCAGAAAACCTAATTCCCACTTTTCCTAGATAATAAATAAGAATTTTGTGGTCTACCGTGTCAAAAGCTTTTTCTAGGTCCAAATAAATGGTGTTACATTTTTTATTTTTATCTAATGCATTAAAAACAGAACTTGTTACTTTGACAATTGCTTGATTTGTAGCCATATTTTTCCTGGACCCAAATTGCATATTTGAGAAAATCTTATTTGCTTCTAGAAAATTAGTTAATTTAATTTAAATTATTTTTTCAAAGATCTTTGCAACATCTGAGATTAGTGATGTAAGTTTATAATTTTTATCTTGGAATTTAAGACCTTTCTGTATATAGGGGTTATTATTGCAGCTTTAAATACTTCAGGGACTGAGCTTTAGCAAATGGAAATTATGATAATATATTTCAAAGTTTGTAAGACATTATATAAGACATATTTTTCAATAGATTTGCCTCTATACCATCTAATCCGGGTGCAGCATCTTTACGTAAAGACCAAATTGCCTTATAGATATCATCGTCAGATATGGGGTCAAAATTTTCTAAAATTGTGTTATTTTTTTCATATTTTCTTTACTACTTTTCCTAAGCTCTATAATATTATCTGCCATAATTTTTTTATAGTCGTTAATTCTTAATAATAGTTTTGTTGCAACGTTAGAGAATTAAACATTAAAATAATTGGCTATATCTTTTTTTTGAGAGTTTATATTTAATTCTATATTTTCTTCTGTAATCATTTTTTGGATTTTATTTTCTGTATGTTTTTTTGTTGTAAAGTCATCTATTATTTTCCAAAATATTTTATTATTACCGTTTGCCTCTTGACATTTATTTGTATAAACCAATGTTTTAGCGTCTTTAACCATTTAGCCATGATGTTTCTATACCTTAAATAATAAATGTTAAAATCGATATTATTGGGATATTGATGAACCTTCGTATAAAGCACGTCTCTTTTCCCAATTGCATAATTTATTATAGTTGTAGTAACCCAAGGTTTTATTTATTTTTTTTTAGTTTTGAATAAATAACTATTTCTTTGAAAACAATGTTTTTAATATCGTTATAAAGTGTTTAACGAATCTGTGAATAAGCGGTGTTACATTCCATAACTTGATTCCATTTTTCTATAATTATTAATTTTATTATTATTATATATTAATTATTAATATAATATATACCTATATATATGAATTATATATTTATTTGAACCAGACCAGGTTTAGTGTTTAGACGAGGTAGAAACGTGCCTGGAACTAAGGAATGTCAGGGGCTATTTTATTTCTTGTAATACACAAAAACATCTCGAAATTAAGCCTATTATAACATAGATTAAGTAGGTAATATAATAATTTTGAATTTTTAAATTTTTAAATCATACATTACTTATAACAACTAAATTGTTGGTTATCATATGGGTGTTTATTATTTAGATGACTTTACAATGGACAATTAACAAATATGTGCCAAAGGCTATATGATAGGGCTTAATACTGCCAGTAATTTGACCATAATATTAAATAAATATGATCCACAGACTGATTATTCTGCATTTAAGAGGCTTCAGACAACCAAGTGGGGGCTAGCCCTCTATCCTTTGATAATTGTAACACTGTATACAATAATTTTTAATCATAGCTTTTCAAAATTATTTAAAAAAATGTTATGTATTCACCGTAGATACTATAAAACTATATGGGTAGGTAATTATTAAATTATTAAAAATTACCTACCCATAAATCGTTTTATATTTATTATGTTACTAGATAATTAAACTTGCTCGTTTATTTATTGCAACAAACAACAATACATGTTCCTACTAAATATTTCAACAACAAGTACAGTCCATAGTAGGTAAAGACAATGAAAAATGATGATCCATTTTACACATAACACATTAACTGTAGGTATACATTTGTCAATTAACATTGGTTAATAAACATACATTAATTAATTAAACATTTAAAATGAATTTGTTTTATTTGTTTTATTACACAAAGGTACCATTACAATTGGGTAAAGCATAGCTATGAATCTAGTGTATCTCTTATCATGTATAACAAAACAAAAAGCCATGTAATTTTAATGCCCTTTAATTATTGATTAAAACATTTAAATGTTTACACATACTGTAGAAATACAGTTAGATAACATTTATACCAAGTAAACTTAAAAGACGTCATATGATAATGTGGTGGTCGGATGTAGCCACTGTTATAATTAATTTAATGTATATTTGTAAGCAACGATAAACCATTGCTAAGGAAAAAATGATTCTAAGCGGAATTCAATTGATAGGCATTGATGCTTTGTCAACAATATACATGTCATATTTCGGTAAAATAAATAAATAAGCTCTATATATTTTCTTTAAAAATATTTGTTTAATGTACCGATTTTTCCGTTTTTCGCATTTGCTGGGAAAACTCTTGAGAAAATAATCTCCCTAAAGTACCTTCCCAGTCATATTTCCTTTCAGAAAAGTGCTATCATTATAAAATAGACCAAGATTTCTAGTAGACAATTTGTCCACAAAAAAAAAAAAACAAATATCTTTATTGTAAAACCATAGGTTTCTTCGCTCCACTCAGAATCTAAAATAGAAAATTAAAAGAAAATATGTAAATAGGTCAACTATACAACTTACCTAAGTAATTATTTTGGTCAGATTTTTACAATCATAATAAAAAGTAATAATTTTCAGATGAAAATTAAATTTCTAATAAATTAACATTAGTTAATTTTTATTTGTTCGCAATGATAAACCATTGCTAACGATAAACGATTCAGGAAAAAGTTCGGTAAGACATTTTTTAAAATGCCGTAATTTTTATGATTTTCGACAAAATTTGATCTTAAAACTAAATAAAACATAAAAAAAAACTAATACATTGAACTCAAATTTGTTTTGTAGATCACTAATTATAACTTATACTGCACCACCTTGTGCTAATTGTCAATCATTACTTTTAAATCATATAATTTTAATAAAAGATATCTACCAAAAAAAAATGTATATATTATAAAAACATACGCAAATATCAAATATCTATAAATATTAGCTTTAAAATGACTAAACATTTTTGAAAATTTTAACACGTCTACTAAGGCCAATACAAGTCTTTAATTGTGGACAAAGATTATTGGTAGAAAAATATAATCTTAATAATTTTGAAAAAAAAAAAAATGCTAGAAAAGATGTTCAGACATAAAGACAAAACAAAAACACATATTATCATAGTAAAACCAATAACGCTAAACACACCAAGTCTAAAACAAGAATTCATCGATTAAAAAAAAAATTTACGAAATAATATTATATCCCTTTTAGACTAGGTATGTGAAAAAAAAAATGTCAGCCATAAAGTCATAACGTTTTTCTCTAAATAATATAACGACAGTTAAAAATCTATAGAGTAACGCTAAAAATTATGTTCTTTTCATCCCCAAGTTGTATGTAATAATAATTACCCCTATATTAATTTTTTGACTTAGCATATCGTATGCCGGTTCAAATGAAGACACCACTCTGTGGAAATTACGGAGTTATAAGCCCGAGTTAAAGGCGGATATGATTAAATTATAAGGGTTCAGTTTTTGATATTTCCATAATGGAATGGAGGGGTACGAGACAGCGCTACCGGCAAACAACGAACGGTACTGCCGCTGAACGGTATACTGGTGCAGTGGTGCTGACGCATATCGCAGACAACGTCCTGGTTACAAAATAATATAATATACAATAACAACAAAAATCAATACGGTAGCCGCGGCGTCGTACGGTTCTACCCCGCCCCCTGACGAAATAACGCTGTAACTACAATGGGTGTGGACGTCATTCTGTGCTCCTCGGGGGTCTAACGAGCAGGGAGGGCCGCCATTCCGGCTAGTCGACGTACGCCGTAGGGTCATGCGCATGCGCATTTACGTCGTCCTTGGGGCGACCCGCACGATCGAACACCGAACAGCTGATCCGCGCACCGCCCGCAGTCGACCTCCACTGGACAAGTTATTATTGTTATTTGTTACGACGCAGTAGTTTTTCAACTACTATACTTATACATAATATTTCATATCACTACGAGTTGCAGATCGGCACAGCGGCAGCGGATTTTTCCACCAAAACGTTCAAAACAATAATCGCATTTACATTCTTAAATTCAACGTGTTTGCTGCGCGAGTATCGTTTGCCTAATTTTTTATCTTGGGCTATTCGTCCGACGAACGCGGAAAGGACTTTTTTTATCGGCTTTCGCACGGAACGCAACGCGAAACGACGGTGCACCACAGAGAATCCACCATGATGTCCGATGGCGAAAGTTCAACGGGACAATCGACGACAGCCGTGGAGACGGGAGGACAATCGGCCGTGGACAACGTTCTGCTGACGGCTTCCGCGGCAACGGTCATGGCCATTGACGAACAGCCGACTGTGGCTATTACCAAAGACGACGGTGAACCGAACCCGAAAAAGGCCAAGCTGTCCGGTGGAGTCGGCGAGGTGTTCGGCCGCGGTGGTGTTGGCGGCGGTGGCGGATGCGGTGACAAACAGACCGCACTGGACAAGTTAGAACACAGGTTGGGCGGCATACTGTGTTGTGCCGTGTGCTTGGACTTGCCCAGGTCAGCCATTTATCAGGTAAGCGAATCTATTTTTAACCGTACGGTGTACGGTATTGTTTTTGTTGTTGTTGTTGTCGTCGCGGTAGACGCGGCGGCGGTACCAGCTGACTGTAATAATACAACTATATCGGGTCAACGACATGCGTTCGTACGACGACAATGCGATGCCCCCTCGCTATTATTTCGGTACAGGTAGACGTTTTTGAGATTTCCCGACCGAAACGCCCTTTTCACCTTTGTTAACGCCACTTGGTCCGTCCTGTATACACCTGCAAACGGGTATTGCGGTTTTTTCCAAACATATTATAATATTTTATCATGTTTTCATACCCACTGTGTGTATCCAGCAGATCGAGCGATTCCCAAACCGTTTTGCGTCGTAATTTATAATTATACTACTGCCTTATCTGTATTAGCAGAGCTGGTTTGATAGGAATTCGTGTTTATTAATAACGCGCATTAATCGTAACAAATGAAATCGAGTGGCGGGGCGACGCCGCGTTTTCTGGGGGCCCATGCCCCTCCTCATGCATGTCGTCGTCTGGATTGTATTTACTACGCAATTGTATAAACAAAATTTGTATCTTAATGTTGTACACGGAAGTCACTAAAATATTGTTAAAAATAACACTGCTCCTGCTTTATTTGTCGATTCAGTCTGCGCGTTCGTACCTAGTGAATATTTTTCGCTGTGTACGAAACAAAATTCGATGTTGGATATTTGTTTTAACTCGCAAATAACGATTGTCGTCCGTATATTTTTTCAAGTACCCTTAGATTCTTATAATTTTGACTATACCGCAATTTTTTTTAAATTACCGTATACAACAACAGCGTTGTTTTCAGTAATAACGTTTACAATAATAGTTGTTGGTAGGTAATAGTGGCGAAACGAACCTAAAATAACGCAGTAGGCACCCCACTCACTCGGCAATATTTCTCTATATACCAATACTTTCTCTCATTTTAATCAAAATTAGTGCATCGTCAACGAGTATTAATATATTTAGTTATTTTAACGTTGAGTATCTTCCCATCCCCCCCCTCCTAAAAAAAAATCAGATGTAACTGCTTCTCAAAAATCATAATAATATACAGGGCTTTTAAACGTTCATAAACTCGTAGCAATCTGTCTATACATCGTAGACATTTGACGAGTTTGATTTTGATCTTCATAATAAGTATTCCATTAGTTTTGAAATTTTATTTATTCTTTTATATTTTGATTAAAAAATTGTTGAGCCCGGGAAGCTCCACTCTGACCCAAGCAGATTAATATTTTTCAATATTTTAATTAACAATGATTTTAGTAAGGTAGCCGGCCGTTTATTACCAAAGACGGAGAAGGGCCGAGGGGGAATCATCTCCCCGAGGAAGCGAGGAAAGTGAGGCATTTGGTGAAGGAATTCACTTTATAGTTGACAATACCATTCTCCCTGAAGAAAGAGATCAGAATACTCCCGTGATACCTATACCTGCCGTAAAAGGGGAGACAGATGGGGTTGCATCAGGTCGACAACCGGTGTACAATTTTGTCGGACAATATGAGGAGTTTTAAGCAAGACTTGGGTAGATTGTCCCATCTCGGATGTACGTGGGGACAACAGGTAAGAGACGGTACTTTGGTGCATGATTTTTACAGATGATAGAGTATTGATAGGAGAAATTCTGAAAGAAGTTAACAATAGACTTGAGGAATAGAGAGTGGCCCTTGAAAGAAAAGGACTAAAGGTAAGTAAAAGTAAAACAGAGTATGAGTTTAGAGGAATAGGACAAGACAGCCAATGGCAGTAAGCGGTAATTGGTGAAGTTAAGAGTTTTATGTAGGTATCTAGGATCTGTCGTACAAAAGAACAGTTGCTTATATGAGGATGCATAGGATTAGTGTGGTAGGATAAAGTAGAGAAAATTAACAGGTGCTCTATGTGACAAAACAAATGAGACCCAAAGTTCTACAAAAGTGTAGTAAGAGTGATTATGTTGTGTATGGTTCAAAATGTTGGGCAATGGAGAGAAAAACATTTTCTTTTGATTTTCTAAGGGATTTTAAATCTAATTTGGAAGTACCAATAAAGACGAAAAATACCATATTTTTTTTTTTAAATTACGGCGCAACAATTTTATTATTTAAAATTTTTAAGATTATATTTTTCTACCAAAAATCTTTGTACAAATAATTTGAAGAATAGAATATTTTATGAAAGAAAATATTTTGTCTTGTTTGTCAGTAAGAAAAGTCGTTTGATTTTCGTATAGTCTTCCTAATAATTATGAAAATCCATGGAAAAAACATAGAAAATATTCTAAGTGTACGGCATTTGAGTTATTGTTGTTTTGCGGTTAAAAATTATTGTAGAGACCTATAGTTTAACAAAAAAAATTTACATTGGCCTTTGGAAACGAGGTAAAATTTTCACATTATTATATCTATTTTTAGACTATTTATAAGTATTTGATTTTGTCATATTTTATATGTATTTTTAATTTTTATTTGGTTTTTAAAATTCTATGATTCAAGAGAAATGCTTATAAGTTGTACTTAGTGGTCTAAAAAACAAATTTGAGTTTAATGCATTAGTTTTAGAGTGTTTTATGTTGGCTCAAATCGTAAAAATTACGGCATTTCAATATATTTTTACTGAATCTTTTCTCTGCACTGAATCATTTTTCGTTGCGATATAAAAATAACTTTATGTACCCTAGTAGCTGTATCCGTTAACAGTATCCCCAGCTCTTTTTACTGTGTTTTATTGGGATTAATTTTGGATATGTTGTTTTCATATAATGATAAAAACAAATAGTTCTCACTTTCTCAGTCTAATAAGTGGCTTACAACCAATAAAATAATACTTCCCGACGCAATAAAAATTCTCGATTTTTTATTTGAGATGCAATCGGATGTATACCCATGGGTGCACATAAGGGGAGAGAGCTTAGCATTCTCAGACTTCAAATTAGCACCTCCCAATTTCCCTGAGTAATTTATTTCACTATTTCGCCAATCATTCGTAAATTATTGTGGTTTATTAGTTTAGATAAAATATTAATTTTTTGTCCACTACAAATAATTCACGAAATTATGTGTCAAAAATTAGCAGTATCAAATAAAAAGTTAAATATTGTATAACATTTATTAGTAATTATAGATTAATTTTTTTTATAAATATTTTTAATACTTAATAAATTATGTAAACGATCTATTCGTGTATAGACTATATAGTTAAGTTGTTTTAATAAATAAACAGAATAGCGATTACAATATAAACATATATACAATTTCAATTTAAGAAATTAATTATTAATTTAGACGAATTATAATTTATTGAAGTTTTGATTTATTATATTTGTAGGAACATTTTAAATTATTGCAATTTAGTCTATTATCGTATTAGGTAGATATGGGGGCGAAGTTCCCCATGGATATTATGTGTACCATCAATTATTCTATCATCCCTTAAATTTGACCCCAATGTGCGTTTATGGATACATGCTACAACCGGACGCAATCGAAACTCGAGAGGGTTAAAAAGATTAAAATGGGACGCATTCAGACGACCACTGGAAGATCGGTCAAGTGGAAGTTTAGAGTGAGTGTAGCTGACTCCAAATTGGTGGAATAAATGGAAAAGAAAAGTAAAAGAATTATGAAGAATAGACGAAATCAGATTATAATTGTAATGAAATTAATTTAGAATTAAGTTGAAAAAATTAACATCTTTTTTGATATTACTTAGGGGCCATTAAGACATTAGACGGAAAATTAATTTTGAAATGTCTTGAAGTATTCTAATCCTACTATCCTAATTTCTGATCTAACTTGGAAAAAAATGATCATTTAACGATTCCATAACAACTGATTAAAAAGATTAGGTCAAAATCTTTGGAGATAATCGCTGGGTCATGATAAAAAAATCACCATGATGTACCAATTATTGTATTATAAATTATAATAAACATTTTGACGGACCCCCGTCATTTTCTTTCGAATCATACTTCGTTCACATTGCCTTCGACATAAACATTACAAATCACGTTTCTGCAAGCCAGAATATCAGAAACAGCCATTCTTAAAATATTCAATGTTAACGTTTACAAAATATGTACATACGAATGTAAACAAATTTTTTACTTAAATACTCGTACAAGGGCAATATGCGAAAAAGAATCGTGTTCAATGATCAAATATTATAATAGGAAAATTTGTCTTGATTTTGTTTAGTTGAATGATTAACGTTGTAGGTACATAACACTATACATGTATATACATTCTTGAATTCTTCTATTGAATCAACAATATTCTAGGAGGATTTTAAGTGAATTTGATTTGTGTTTTTTGTAATCGTTATGGAACTGTATACTCTTTATTTCTACTCTATTTTTAAATTTGTACTCCTTTCCCTTAACTTTTAATTTTTACATTGACACCCGCACTTACAAGCACAATTCGTAAAAATAATATGATAATCGTAATGAAGCATGATAAAAGAATCATGCTGTATAATTAGCATACTTTTTATTTATTTAAAATAATATCATTATGTAAAACTGATAACATTGAGAAAACAAATTACGACATTAAACGAGAGTAGATATTTAAAAACTAAATAAAAATATGTTATTCACATAGATAACAGTTCTAGATTCTCATTAAGACTGTTGAAAGTAATCGGTTTTTTCATACATTGAGACTATTATGGAATACAATGCACAGTGTAAATTAATATACTTGCGGGAGTTCAATTTTTGTTTTGAAAATTGATTTGTGTACTTCTTTTCTATATTTGATTGGAATAAGATTTATTTATTGGTTGTGACACTTTAGTAAAATGTTATTTTAAGAAAAAAAAATTATAACTTACTTATCATGGACTTCTAAATTAACTGAATAACGATGTTGTCTAAAAAAATATATGATAAAAATCAAAGAATTAAAATTGAATGAGCGATAGTGGATGAATTTTATCCAGTTTATATTGGTCTAAAATGTTATATTAGTCTGTAAAAACGGTCGGACTCCTTAAGTTGGTATCTGGCAGAATATTAGTGATTTAGATGATCATAAAAAGATAACAAATAATTTTAAAATTTTACAAAATTGGAGAAAATTTAGGAAAAATGTTTCTAACTTCCTTGTGTTTTTTTTTGCTAAGATGAAAATTTTTATTAAAATAAATAACCACTTTCCAGATTTTGCTGTTGAAAAAATAATTTTGTTCCATTGTATGTTTGTATGTGTGTGTGTTAAGCAATTGTACTGTATGTATCTGTTTGACATTTAACTTATGAAGTATACCATTATTATAATTAACAGTGTACAAATGGACATTTAATGTGTGCCGGATGTTTTGCTCATTTGTTGGCTGATGCGCGCTTAAGAGATGAAATGGCCACATGTCCAAATTGTCGTGTGGATATTGCAAAAAATACAGCCACACGTAACTTGGCCGTAGAGAAAGCCGTTAGTGAACTTCCGGCAGAATGTCAGTTTTGCGCCAAAGAATTCCCACGCAACACATTGCATCATCATGAACAAAAACTTTGCGCTGAAAGGTAGGTTGGGTTTAAAAATTATTTTATTAATATCAAATACTGGGAACATACCTATAATAAATGCGTTCAGGATAGTTTGCTGTATTGTGCATTAGTAATAGATTGTAAGTAATGCTAAGAATGTATTGGTTTTCTAGTGACTCACACATTTTTATTGTATTTTTTTCATAATTTCAACTAAAAAAAATTACACTATTTAAAACTGTTTTTAACAAAATAGACTTTGGTGTTTTGCTATAATTCAATACGAAAAATAGTTTTAGAGACCTAGGTACTTACCTAACATTTTTATCAAATGCATAATTGTATTTTCTAAATAGCAAAAACATTATAATTTCCAAAATGTTTTAGCTCCTTTTGAGTTATAACTAGCCAGAACACAAATGTTATTTCATTGGAAAGTGACTAAATTGGATTGCATTATTGCTTTAAAAATATCTTAAAATGTGTATTAATAAATAAAATCTGTTAAATAATTACTTATACATTTACATGAAAGGAAAATTAATTTTAAAAATACCTATCTATGTTTGTTGAATAATAGTTTGCTTTAATATTAGTGTTTCATTATCTATTACAAGTTTACTTAACTTCTTTAAAGTATACGTAAAATTTCACTAAACCATTATTATTCACGAAAAATTAATATTAAAATTTGTTTTATTTTGTATGCAAATTTGACAAAACAAATTTATATCTACTTCTGCAATAGATCAATGGAAGTTCGAACCCTAGTGATAACTTGTTTAAATGTGTTTACTATGATTTATGTGGATACAGATTTTTGGTCTTATACTAATGTTCAAAAATATGGTAAAAGATACATCATAAGCTGTTCTATAATATTAATGAACATAGATAGGTCAATATAATTTCACAATTTTTTTTTTATTAATAAATTTAGGTTCAAATGTTGATAAATTTGTAAAAATTATTATAAAACATTTGTAAATAAAAATAAATTAATCATTAATTAAATTTTGCAAAAAAAAGTTATTTTCCTTAAATATTTTTCTATTAGTCGTAAATAATATTTTTATATTATACAAGCAAATGATAAGACTGTTTTTTATATAAATATGTGTGTATACATATATTTTTTTAATTCTAGGCCAGTGAAATGTGGATACAATAAAATAGGCTGTCCTTGGCGTGGACCCAGTCATGAATTATCAGAACACGAAAATGTGTGTCCTCATCCATCAGCTTCTGGAAAAGATGTTATGTTAGCACTTGAGGCTACAGATCAAAAGTTTCAGGAGGAGAAACTTTTATATGACACCATATTTGATTTAATGAGTTTTGAAAAAATCACATTTACTGGTAAATAACATTTATAATATTTTTAATTTGAAACAAAATCTAATAATTTTCCTTGGCTTTGTAGATTTGCAATTAAAACCATACCGAACAGAAGAGTTTGTACACAAGTTATACTATGAAACTGCCAGATTTTCAGCATTCAATTCTCAATGGGTTATGAAAACCCGCATCAATAACATGCAAAGAGATCCAGCATTGAGTGTTGATCGTCACATGTCATACCAGGTAATTTATGTGTAAAACATTTATGGGACAACCATTAACAATTTTTAAACGTGTTGTATTTGTTTGTATTGATTTTACTATTTTTAAAATATATTTATGTATATAAACATGATTTAATGAAAAAAAAAAACTGATGTTTTATAGAGAAATCCAGGTAAGTTCTATTAAGTATAAGAAAAAAAAAACAATAACTAACCCATAATATACACAAATGCGTAAAGCACTACCACAAGTATCCATGTACGTGTTGTCAGTCCTTTCAGCATTAGGTTACACTGTGAATTTGAATGTTGTTAGTTGCCAATATAATTTGTAATGGTGATGTGTAAACATCTATAATCAATATGAAGTGGATAATCCATTTATAATATTGGGAAAGAGGAGCCACAAGATATTTGAGATATTATATTACTAAAAGGTCACAATCTTAAAGACCATCACAATACTTCTACTACTCCAATTCTTCAATCCATCGTCGCCACCAGACTCCACTACTACTACTACTGATATCACTTCTACTGCATTGTCTTCATGGTATGGACTCTCAATCAATCTATCGCTGAATCGGCACATGCACAACAAAATTCATATTGCCATCTATAAAATGTGTTTCTTTTTTTGTTTTTGCCCGTTTCTCTACATCCACCACATGTCAGACACATTTTACATAAACGTCATCAAAGAAATAACAACGGCTGAAACATCACTATAAGACGCCCAATATGGATCAGATCGCAGGATTTTTTTGTATAAACAATTTTTGTTTTTTACGACGTTCTCAAAGTAAAACTTTTTACGAATTCTTGTTATTTATTCTTGCTAGGTTAACTATAAATTTAATACTTATTAAAAATTTGTTGTAATTGTATTTTTTTCTTTTATTGATTTATATTTGTATAAAGGGTAAGCTTTGGTAAGTCACAAAAATATTAAATTGCTTTTTCTTATTTTTGTTCTTCTTTCTGGTAAGTGCTAAAATATGCAAACATCCCGTATAATTTGGGTAAAGTTTTGTTTTTCAGATGCATTTGGATTTGTATACTTTAAAAGATTTTGGTGAATAATCATTAATTCTTTACTAATGTTTCAGGATAATTTTTTCAGGTTATTTATTTTACTATCTGAAAATACTAATTAATATATTTTTTTTTTTTTATTCATTCCTCTGTTTCCTTTGCACCCTGAAATGTGTTGTCATCGTTGTGCTGATCATCTGTATATAGCTGATTCTGAAAACCAAAATTGCCACACCTATGTCTGTCCACTATCTTGTAGTTAAAGGACCGTTTGGTGATATGAAAGTGAACCCGAAAATATTTAAGTTTGAATTCACCGAAAATGAAACAGAAACACAATTTGTAACATTGCCATTACCAGATTCAGCCGAATGCAATCGGCTGTTAGCTGCTAAAACTATTAATTTGAGGTATGTATAAAAATTCCAAAGATTTGGTTTGTAGCTATTTAATTTAAAACATGTTCGAAGTCAAATTTTAAAGTCAACATTAAAATAATTAGATATACATTTTAAAAAAAATGAACAATTATTATAAATACTATGTTTAGAAAAATATGCTCATAAGTATTAATAAGAATTGAATTATATGATTATTTATTATTGAAATTAACAAAATAAAAAATTGCATTATCACGAGCTAGATTTGGTTACACACAATCTCCAGTTTTTTTTAAAAATATTTGTTAAAAACTTAGATAATTATATGGAATTCTAAAAATGTACTTAAATTTATAATGTTACTAAAAAATTCTCTTGAAGTTTTTGATTAGAGCAAGTCTAATGTAATGTTATATACCTCTGAATATATATATTAGCTAATTATATTAAGAGTATAAATAATTATTTAAACAGATTCTTAATTAAATTGTCTTTGATTTTTCAGATTGATCATGTTTTTGGTGTCAAAGTAATCAAGAAAAATAATAAAATATGTATATATCATATACATATAAGCATAAAATAAAGTAATATTTAATTTTAAAAAAGCTGTTTCCACATTGATCATTTTTTATTATTTACCTAGGCTTATAGCTACACTAGCATTTCTTTTTAAATTAACAAAGCGAATTAAGCTACTTTTTAAAAGTTTTATAGTTTATTTTTATTTTTATTTTGTTATTGTTGACTCATTCCCTCTGACCAGAGTTCCACCTTGCTCTAGAAGCACGTTTTTTCTTCCTTACTGTATTGTATTTTAATATATATTATTGGATATAAATAAAGTGACATGACTTACGAGTAATTATACTGAGTATTTTCTCCTCCTCTTTTTCTCCTGCTTCAAAAGGAAGTTTTCGTACTAATTTTATAATTGGACTAGTCATTATTGGAAATAAGAAAACCAATCAAGTGCACTTGTTACTATAAAATTATTTTGTTTTATAGTCTTTTAAGTCAGAACAATATTGAAGTTCATTTGTACATTGTATTTTTCTATTTTCTTTTATCTTTTTTATAATCTAAAATTTGTTTTTTAAATATTATATTGTATTATTATTTGGAAAAAGGACACATTATGGTTATCACAAAATGTTAAAATCATTAATAACTTATGGCTACTAAGTATTAATAATGTACAAGTGAATTTGAAAAACTACTAAAATTATGAGTGACTGGTTATGAAACTTTTGAATTCTTTTTTTTTTTTTGAAATAGTACAGTAGAAACTCGATTAGAATTGTGACGGTTAACAAATATTTTGCAATCCAGGTACACAGATTTATAATTACAAAAGTAGACTACAATAAATGTTAGATAATAATGTGGTGTTAACATATTATATAAAATCGATAAAATGTTCCAGATTATAGAGAAGTAATGCTAAGTTTATGCTTGTACGTTTGATTATGTATAACACATAATCTCCTTTATTTTTTTACGATGACAAAGAAAAGAAATTGACTGTTAATCAAGTTTATAAATTACAATGTATTTAAGATGAACATATTTTTAACTAATATTAAAAAAAAATTGATAAACTTATATTGTACCCATATTTTGATCTACAGGTTCATAAAAGTAATGTTATTGGTATCCAGTAGTCTATAAATGAGAAAAAAATATAATCGAGTTGTGTTGAATTTCTTGTATGTGTTTCAATTATTATTTTTTGAAATTACTAATTTTATTTTTAATTGTATACAATATATATCAAAGATGGTTCTACAAAATGAAAAATAATAATCTAGTAATAAATCCTTTAAATAATATTTATTTATTATTTTAAATATACGACAATAATAATAATTTTAAAAACCACTTTTTAAATATGTCAATAAATAATATAAAAATGTATAAAAAAAAAAAAAAAAAGGCCAACAATAGTTAATTGTAATTCCAAGATTTTTAAAAATTACCCTCCCACAATTAAATACCGCCTTAAAAATAATCCCTCCAATTCCTAGAAATACAATAAAATACCTTTACAATTTTGATTCTGTATTTAACGCTTTTAATTTTTGGGCCAACATAATGTTTCCTTTTATCTTCAATTTACCCTTCATGAATGCCATCTGAGGATTTAGCTTTCCAAGAGCCTAAATGAAAGATATTGTAAAAATATTTATTGTCACAATGTGCAATACAATATAATTTTGTTATGCTTACCAAATCAATCATGTCCGAATCGCTTATAGTTAATGTTGTATCTACTTTTAAACCCTTTTCAGGTTCTCCCCGATAAACTTTGCCAGTTTTCAAGTCTGCAGCTAAATAGATTTAAATTTGTATAATAGTGATATTAGTTAATTAATTAGTTAATAATAAACACATTTCTAGTTTAAAAGCTTACTCCATGTACTGGCTACTTTTCCATTTTTTGTGATATGATATAAGAAGATGCCATTGATTGATTTTAATAGACTTTTGTTTGAGTCTATACGTTCTTGCATACCTTGGAATACTGCATCGCTTGGTAGTTCTTCGACTTCACCCGAGCACAAAATCATATGTGGTTTGGAAGGAAATTTAACTTCGTGTAATTCCATGTAGGCGCCTAAAAAAAAATATCAATGTTTATATTTTTTTTAAATCGAACAACCATTTATTAAATGAAAAATTGGTTCATCTACTGTAAGGAACGCCTGTGTTGAAAATAGAGAATTATTTTCCTATAATCTACAAATTAAATATAATTTATAAAAATTTTAATACAATGGCAAAAGAAAAAAAAATATTTTTAACATTTCACAATTCAGATAAATATAATTGCATAAAGTTTTATTTATAATATTATTATTTATTCTAAGGTTTTCCTTAAAATTGTTATTTAGACAATTGAAATGTTGGTCCAAAATATTCAACAATGTGTGCTTATACTCTTGCATAATTTATATATTTTTTATTTCCGAAAAACCAGATAAAGAATTTAATAATGATAGACAGTGTCGAAAGTTTTAGCAAAGTAGGTACAAAAAAAACTGTTTTGATTTTTGGCTATTATCAAGTACATGTCAAGGTATTTTGATACATTATACAGAGCATCAATAGTATCCAGTCTTTTTCTAAATCCATGTCGATTTTTTAACAAAAATGTATTTCCCTTTATGTTAGCAAAACTTATTATTCTTAATATAAATCTACTTCCATAAATATGGACTTAAATTTTTTTCTTAGAATAACTACAATTATAGCAAACAACTCATCAAAAATATAACATGTTCTGATTGGTTTACTTCAACAGTGTTTATTAATTTTTAATGTTTTATAGTTTCTGTATTAACAAATTTTTTTCTAGTAATTTCTTTTATTAAATTTGATGTAGATTTTGGATATTTTACTACTGAATTAAATTTAATCCAATAACAATTAATTCTAGCTAGTTATATTAAAAAATTAAGTTTCTATCTATATTGTCTATATACTTTATATTTTGTTAAAGATTGGTTTAATGGATTTTTTTTCAATTTAAAAGATACATAATTTTTTAATTGCGGTCATCCACACTTGGAGTCTTTTATTTTTAGATAAGAATGTATTTTTTTACTAGAACACGAATATAAAAAATTTAAAACTATGTTATACACATTTCTAACCAAAATATTAATATCCTGTTTTATACAATCAATATTTTTTCAGTCTTCCCTCCTATGTTTATTTTCATTACAATTCTTACTGCTTTAGATTTTTCTCTCCTCATGACATACTCCTCAAACTATCTCTATCTATTTTCTCTCATTTTGTCTAACCACGCCTAAACTACTTCTCATTTACTCACATTCCTTATCCTATCTTCTTTCATTACTCCACTCATCCACCTAAGCATTCTCATCTCTGCTACACTAATTTTATGTTCCCACTCAACATTACAAACCATACAACATAGTATCACCACACTTTTGTGGAACTTAACTTTAAGTCTTAATGGTGGTATTCTTTTGTCACATAAAAATTTTTAGCTTCCCTCCACTTTATTGAACCACACTAAATCTTATGTCTTACATTTTTATGAAATCTATCATTTTTTTGTACAAAAGACCCTAGGTTAGGGTTACCATATTTTATTTGGCAAAAACCGGAACAAATTTTTTTCTTTTCATTTTTTCTGTGTTCTATTAAATGTACATAGATGTTTTGGAGCCATATCGCACTGTTTTCACAAAATACCGCACGACACACTCAGTGGTCATTACTACTATTACAGTTTACAGTATACTATATAATTGATACTAGTAATAAGTTTACTACAACTGAAAAAATATTTAATACTGGTTGATTCGTTTAACGATCAGGATAACTACAACTACCATGACAGAACAGAAATGCAAAGAACTGTTTTTGACAAAAAAAATTATTTTTTGGTTGGGAAAATAATTTAAAAATAAAATTCATCAGTCAATTTTTCAACTTGTCATTTTATCATGACAATAATATTATGATTTTTTAACCTAGAGTTTAATAAAATATAAAAATACTTTTTTAAAGTCTTATTTTTTTGAGACAATTGGTTGTCCCGAAATACATTATCGGGACCCCATACTTAAAACCCTATCTTAGGTACCACTAAAAACTCTTAACCTCCCCAATTATGTCACCACTTATTGTCATTAGTTGTTTTGTCTTATTCCTCTAAATTCATAGTCTAAATAATTCTATTTATCCTTTGTTCCTTTCCTTTAAGTGCTACTCTCCATTCCTTAAACAGTTTATAATTTCCAGATTTTCTACTATCACATAACATATAACTAGTCACATTAGAATTTATAAAAAAAACCCCTTAATACCTTCATAAATATTTTAGTTGTACATAAAAATAAAAAACAACTATTTGTTTTATTTGAACCCAATCTATCGTTTAATCTACAAACTGCGTACAAATTGATTTATCAAAAATGTAATTGTTCTAAATATTAAAGTATTATTAAAATAAAATAAGAAACTCACCTAGTGAAAATAAAATTAAGAAAAAGTAATATACTGAATACTGTGAAAAATAATATAACTACAATAACAGAGAATATATAATAAGCTTGTTGCAACATAATTGTTTTTTGAAAATTTACAAATCATTTTTAAAAATATATCTAACATTTATATTCAATATTCATTGTATGCAAATATTAATTGAATATGTCAAGTCAATAGGGTTAAGTGAAAATAATTCATAACTAACACAAAATGTATGTGCATAATATTAAGAACTAGCCACATAGTAACATTTTAATAGTTATATGTGATAACAGTCAAGGCCACTTAATGTGACTAAAACCCACCCACCTAATTATTATAATATAATATTTTAAATTATAGAAAATAAATAAATATATAAAAATATATATATTATAAAATTATAAATCATTAAATTACCTGATAGAACTATAGTGTTGGTCTCTAATACAGTAGTTGTGAAGTGAATGCGGTTCTCTTCTCTCCACATTGACGTACACAATGTTTGGCCTGGTACAACTGGTTTACTAAATCTCACCTGGAGGTCATAGTAGTTTATTTATTAAGAAGCTTGTTTATTACAATCTATTCTAATCTATTCTATACTTCTCATTACTCATTGTATTATATTTTATTTATATAAATTATGTTATCATGAAATGTGTTTATATTATAATATTTAAAAATGTATTATATGCGTTTTTTTTTAACAATTATGATAAAAATAAATTAAAATACATTATTTTTAACACAAAAAATTTACTTAAGTACATATAAAATTATTCTTGATAAATAAATACATTTTAGATTTATAATTCAATAGACCAGTATTTTTCAACCTTTGGATCGGGAATAATTTTGTTTAGAGCACACAACATGTAAAAGGGGATACAAGGTGGCCTTCACCATTTTAATTTTAATTTATAAAAAACAGACATACTTCGCATGATAGGTGGGCCACTGTTTTAGATGAAAAGTTGTGAAAATAGGATATAGGGAGGGATTTAATGTAAATCTGTATGCAACAATTAATCATTGCTAATAAAATACAATTCTGAACAAAATTTGATTATTATATTTTAAAACATCATACATGTTTTAAAAGGCTGTAATATTTATGATTTTTGTCAAAATTTGCTATTAAGAAAAGAAAATACTACAAGAATTCAACCTTTTCTTATTTACAACTAAGTAAAACTTATAATTAACTTCCTGTTAAATGTTCAAGCATTTTTGTTTGGTTTAAAATTTTTTTTTAAATATATAAATAACTATTTATTAAGAATACAAATACAAGCATAAATATAGGTAAACAAGTATTCTGTAAACAAAACTGGTTCATCTACCTTCTAAAATTATATCCACAGTGTATTTACTGAATAAAAATTATGAACAAAACTCAAATTTAAAATATCAATAAATAGCTCAACAATTTTACCACATATAGAAAAAGTAAATATAAGTTTTTCTCCAAATTTTAAGTTTCTATGAATAATTCAACAAAAAAATAAAGTTGAAAATAATAAAAACATTATTTTTGTAAATTTTCCCATTTCTCCTGTTTAATCCCAGTTATTATGAAAACTGCTTGAAAAATTAAAAAATGACCTCTTTAAATACCGACTAGATGAAATACCCTTTCAGAAAAGGTGCTATACTTGAAATTCAGGCAACATTTCTGGTAGAAATTGTGTACATAGCATATAAAAAAAAAAAAAAAAACATTATTATACTTATACATTCCTTGCTTAGCTTAGAATCAAAAAGGTTGTACGAAAAAATTATGAATATATATTAGGTCACATCTAGTGTAGGGCTAGATGAATAAATATGTTATACTATCGGTAGTTTGGAAAAACTACCAATATTTCTAAAAATTATTCAAATAGTTTTTATTTTGGTATTTTTCCCTCATACTATTAAAATATTTGTATTTAGAAAAAAAAAAAATTTGAATAAACGTTATGGTCAGTGGGTACTATGTATAGAAGATAGTAGATCTTCCACTACCTACATTTGATTAAATAGAATTTGTAAATAATTCTACAAAATACTACATACATTATGCCCTGCCTCCACATAAATTATATATGTTATTTTTTTTTTACAACTATTTGTTATAAAGAAACTATCAAATAGGTAATTTATTCTAATAGTTTTCAATTTATTCAAATGTTCGGATACAATCAACAATCAAATAGTTTAATAGTGCTTATCACAAGTCATATATATATATATATATATATAGAGGCTGAAAATCACTGTAATAGACTAATGAGTAAACACAAGTTTTTTTTTTAATGTCAATGGATATTTTGTTTTCAATGATTGAGTGAAAATTGTGTAAGTCATGTGTAAGATGCTATTTCTGGGTTAACCCATTAGATCAGTTTTATAATATCAATTTTACTGATTGAAAATAAATTAAATAGCTCAACCAGATTTTGTGTAGCAAATATAATTCCCACTAAGAAATTTAAATGTTTAAAAATAAAATATCACACATACCTTAAGTGATTTAAATAGTTTTGAATCGTTATTAGCATATTGTTTAAGTATATGACGTACTGACATGCCTAATGTTGCTAAACCGTGAAGTATAGGTACTTTATAACCAGCAGCCATTGCAAATGAAGGGTCGATATGTAAAGGATTCAGATCACCGGTTAGTCTATAGATAGCTGCCTATTAATAATATAGTGGCAACAAAATAATATTAAATATTTAAATAGTGATAAACAGTTCATTTTAGTAAAGATTAAAACAATTACTTGATTTACAGAAGTTTTCTCTTTAACTGTAGAATCAGGAGACCTATTAGGTTTAGCAAGTACTGGAACTATTACATTTGAAAATCGTTTACCACCAAATCCTCCAGCTGACAAAACAAAACTACATATTTGTGATGTTGCAATCAATTCACCTGATTCATTGTACGTTTTTCCTAACCAAAAATATAATAATTATTAACACATTTAATAATTTATATTAATAGAAAAATACATACCATCAACCACAATAACAGCATTATTTCCTTTATCTAAAACGTCAGAAACAAAAATTTCAGTTGTAAGTACGGCCTCAGTTGGTAATGGTTTATGTAGTTCTAGGTATTGTTCACCGTGTAAAACCTTTAAAATGTAAATTTGAATTTGTTATTAAAGTAAAAATAATCATTAATTTTTTTTAAGTAATTATGTGTATATTTATAAAAATATCTCTTAAACTAAACATGATTAAACAATTGATACTAATAAAAAAATACCCATCTACATGTTGTGAAAAGAACATTTTTTTCACTATTAAAAATTATGAAAAAAAAAAATAGAATTCTATTGATGTGAAAAAATGCCACAATTTATATGCAAACATAAAAAATACCTAAATAAAAGTATTTTTTGAAATGTAAAATAATTTTATTTATATGACTATAAAATAAAAACTAACCAAATTTGAATTTCTTTTCTTATCAATTTTTTAATAAGCTTTTATTGTAAAACTATAAGTTATTACAATCATATAGTGTGTAATACAAAGATCTGAAACTCAGAAAATATTTATTGTTTATTTTTAGTTTCAAAAAATATATGAAATAGGAAATCATAGAACAAGACTCTAGTAATTATTATAGCGAAAAAAGAATAAAAACATTGAAAAGAACAAAAGTTTTAGTTGTTAAATTTTAAGTGTCTTTGTGTTAGTCTACATAATATGCTTTAATCAAAATGTATATTATAATAAAAAATGATAGCATAAATTACAAAATATAAAGTTTTCTGTAATTGGTGAAGCTACAATAAAACTAAGATAAAATGTATGGGTCTCCACGAATCAATTAAAATTAAAATAAAAAAAATATTGTTTTCAAACATTTTATAAATAAAAAATTGGTATAAGATACATAAATTAATTAATACCTGAGATAAATCAAACTCTTTTCCAGGGATCGCGTTTGTTATTGAACTATTTTGCATTGTAGCCATTAAACTTGGTAAAATTGCATAAGTAGGTAATGTTGAAAAATTTTCATGAGATTCATATAAGTATTGTAAATCACTTTCTTCCCTTACATTTGCTCCAACTAAGTATAATGCATTAAAAAAATTTAATTTTTAAATATAAACAGTAAAAAATAGTGGTTAGGTATGGCTGAATAAAGTAGAGGAAAGCAACAGGAGTGTTATATGATAACATTAACATTAATATTTTAGGTAAAATAAACTGTATTTAGAGATGTAGAAATTCCTGATCTGAGTGTTGGCCATTACAGAAAGTAAGGGAAAAGGTGAATAGGTGTTAAAAGGAGACATATGTAAAGCACGTGGGGTTAAAATATTGTGATGTATAGGGAAATGTGGAAGGCAATGGAAATAAGAGGTACTCATACACTTTTACAAGTAACAATTAAAAATCAATAAAAGATTTAAAAAAAAAATCCATAATTCACCTCCAATAGCATAAAGAATAGAATCTACAAAAGTGTAGTCGAATACACTTATGTTTTCATTTTTAGTTTGTGGACCTGATTTAATCTCATCTATAACACCTAATAAAGTTGAAGATGCTTCCTAAAATGTAAAATTTGTATTGTTTAGTCATACATCTGCATACAATGTATTTAATTGGTTACTTCAATAGAATTCAGTCTAGATGCTTGTGACATATCAGTTAACTTGCTCCAAACATCTCTCACATTTTCTGGGGAGACCATGTCGGTTATTTTGTGTCGAAGTAAAATACCACTTCCTCTAACTAAATGACCTAAACAAATTAATCTTATTAATATTTTTTTAGTTTAATAAAGTAATAATATATATTGTTCTTACATTTTGTAGCCCATCCAGCGGCTGATTCAATAATGGATCCATTTTCTTCACAATTCTCGTGGCAAAGCCAAACTACTACAGGAGCAATTAGTTCAGGTTTTAATTCAGCAAAGAAATCTAGAAAAATGTATAATCTAAATATTAAAATTATTTGTAGCAATGTAACACAAGAGTTGTTTGTAAAGTAACTACTAAAAATTTCAGAATATTAGATGGAACATGGAAAAATTTTTTTTCTTTTAAATACTGAAAACAATAAATAAAACTAAAATATTGACCCAATGAAAAAATATCTGGCTTATATTTTGAGACTAAGTCAATTTGACATACATTTTTATTTTCATAGTTTTTCATAATTTATATACTTAATTATTTGTCTATAATTATGATAGCTGATAATTTTAGTGCATTATTTTTGATCCAAAAAATGTTTTGAAGTTGTCAAACTTCTTTAGTTTAAAAATTTAACTGCTCAGAAATCAATGATCCCTTCACCTACAAATATCTTTAATATGTACTCATTCGTTCTTTATCTGAATATATGCTCTTTTATTATGATATTTATTTTTTTTATCTGTTAACAAATTTTTTCTCAGATTGTCAAATGCAGAACTTTTTCTGAAAGAAATTTGACTGGAGTGGTACTTTATGGAAGCCATTATTTAATTTTTGCAGATGTTTTCATAACAAATGGGAAAAACTAGTAAAAAACAGATAATTTACAAAATGTATTGTTTTTCAATTTTTTGTTTTAATTCAGTTAAAAATATTTGTAGAGACTTATTTTAACTTATATTTGCATATTATAGACTTAATAAAATTTTCAAAACATTGTTGCCATTTTTGAGCTATTTAGAAATTTTAATTTTACAGAGTTTTTTTTTATGTAATTTTTGTTTGATAGGTACTCTGTGGATAACATTATTAGACCAAACAGAAATGCTGGAACATTTAATAGGAGGTTCATTATAAATAATACTTATTAAAGAAAATATATTATGAATATGTCATTATTTTACCATAATATGACAAATATATTTTTGACAAAGCAATACTATTAATCAAACTTTGCTCAGAATTGTTTTTTTATTAGCAATGATTAACTGTTGCATACAGATACATTTAATTTCCCCTCTACCTTTTAACTTCTCACCTACAAAAGTGACCTAAAAACTGATACCTATAATATAGTTTCATGTAAACCTTTGAGAACATATTATAATAAATTGTACACAATAAATTAACAAATTTTTTCCATTAAATTTGATAGACTTAATCTTCTAGTTACAATAATAGATTATTAAGATTATATATTATGCTTAAAACACATAAAATCATAATACCTTATCATATCACAAATTACTGAATAATTTATTACTAAGCCAGGCTAATTTTAAATTTGAAAGTAAAAAGTTATAATTCATAATAATTGTAATTAAAATTAATTTTCTATTTCCTGTCTCTCAAAAGTAAATAAATATAAATTATCCTATCAATATTTTAATGGTTTCTGATAATAGACTAGTTATTAATAATTTTTTTTCTTATGTTATTCATTATTGATATTGTTATTTAATTTAAATAATTTGTTTTAACTATTAATATATTTTCTATTATAATAAAAAAAAAAAAAAAAAAAAAAAAAATGAAATAAACAAAAATACTAGACTATAAAATAAATTGATTTTTTTTATGTTAATACCTGGTGGTAGAATATCTTCCGTAAGTCGAGATGCCGCGGTGGGTACAATAACATTACAGTTAATATTATTTTTTCTACCTTCAATAGCCATAGTGTTACAAAGACCCACAAGACCAAGTTTAGCAGCCCTTATTGAATAAAAATAAATCTAACAATTTTGAAGAAATTAAAATAGGTAAAAATGTATTACGAATAATTTGCTTGTCCAAAATTTCCATATAAACCAGAATTAGAACTTGTGACAATCACTCGACCATAATTTTGTTTACGAAAATGTGGCCATGCAGCTTGTGTGACTTTAAAAGCACCTTTTAAATGAACATCATGAACTAAATCTACAATTGAGAAATATTTCATTATTTAACCATACTTAAATCATTGAGATTTTTATTAACCTACTCCAGTCAGATTCACTTATACGAGCAAATGATTTGTCCCTCAATATACCAGCATTATTTACTACAATGTCAATACGGCCAAAGTTGTCAAGTGCAGTTTGTACCAATTTGTCTCCATCCACAACAGAGTCATAATTGGGTACAGCTTTTCCACCTGAAAATTAGTTTAAAAATTATGTACCATACAAAAAATTATCAATATACAATGCACAAACCTTTGGCACGAATTTCTGCTACAACAGCATCTGCAGCTTTACTACTACTTCCATCTCCAGATCGACTGCCTCCAAGATCATTGACAACAACAGAAGCTCCACGCTCAGCAAATAATAAAGCGTAAGCTTTACCTAATCCTACAATACAAAATGTAACCTATTTAATGTTAATATAGTACCTAAATAAGTTAAAAAATGTATTTAAACGTACCTATTGTTTATAATTTATATACACTTAATTTATTATTCAAAAGATTTTTACAGATAATAAGTGATTAAAATTGTGATAATTTTAAAATTAAATTTCAAGATATTTTCGCATCCAATTTATATTGCTATTTTTATGCAAAATATTCAATTTAAAAACAGTTATGTAAAAAAAATATAGTTATAAGGGTAAAACTAAACACAGTCATAATGCATAATGAGTAAAGGGTGTCTCACAAAGATATACCCATTACAATATCTCCGGAGATATAAAAGATAATCAAATTCTATGTTTTTTTTTTTATATTACACGCAATATACTTCAAATATTTATGTTTTGGTAAAATTTGATAATATCCATTTTATAATTATAGAATCTTCTAAAAATGTTAACATTTAAACTTTTTATTTTAAATGATTTTATAATGTTTTTAAAGTTCATAGGAAAGTGCCTATAATTATGCAGCAAGCTGTAATTGCATTTGCTAATTTACAATTTGTATTATTATTATGGCTAATTGACTGTTCACTTTTTTCTCTAAAATTTAAAAAAAATATTAGTTAATAAGTTAAAATGTCCATAAGAATTATTTCTATAAAATGACTATCTTCAAATTATTCAAAATAAAAAAATAGTAATTTTTTTAATTTTTTCCCAAAACAAAAAATTAATTGAAACAGACAGAAAACAACAAGTAATGCTAAAAAAAAACAGAATATAATTGTCTTTATTATTTCTCAAGATATTATTGTCTTTGTGGAATATCCTGCATAATATATTTTAGTAGGTACATTGTAAAATCAATAATAATATTGTTTTTTTATTATTATTTTAACAAACCTGCACCAGCTCCAGTGACAATTACTACCCGCCCATCAAAACGCAAATTATCCATCTTGTGGTTTCTAGAAAAAAAAAAAAAACAAAATATTATCTACTACATAAACTAAATAAAATAATATTAAATAACTATTATTGATTCATAAATAAAGTAGTGTAGTACTTAAATTGAAAAATTCCATTACAATATTCAAAATTACAACAATGAACGATTACATAATAATAAATTAACAATATAAAACTATGATTAAATAGATATTTTATTTTAATATTGAAATAAGTACCCGAAATAGGAGGTTTTTTTTATAATGGACTCATTCGTTAATATATTTACCAGTGACCAAAGGTACCAAAGGTATTTTTGTAGTTTTGAACTCTTGACGTCCGGTTTGATAGAATTTGAATACAAAAAACAAAATTAACAACTACAATAATGTGTTCGTAATTTGCATGAAACAAATAAAAATAAAAATAAAAATTCAACCAAGACCAAACAAAAACGGAAAATAATCAATACCGTTCTGAGACTGGCCAGCAACTGATATAGTGACATGCTGACACGTCCAAACCGCTCACGAGCATGATATTTGTACAGTGTTGCCAGCTCAAAAACTGAAAAATTACGAACAAGTTTCGACTCAATCACCAAAAAAAGAACTACCTAAATGTACGTACTTTTACTTTCTTAGCAGTATTTCCAGGTTTTAATAAAGTGATTATCGTATACTGTCTTTTAAATTATTGTACCACTAAAAAATTTCATTTTTATTATTTGTGTGACGGTACGGCGCACGGCGAGTTGATAATACACCACCACTCTCCTTCAACTTAAATTTAAAAGTGGAATATCTCGTCAATGGGTCAAAGGAAATCATAAATGTCAACACTAAAATTTGTTTTAACTAATAATTCCATCTATTTATGGACTTTTTAATATAGGTTGCCGTTTGAAAATCAAAAGTAGATAGTGGTTTTACTCCCAAAAATAAAGGTGACAAAAATAAAATAAATATAAAATTGTAGGGCAGATTGTTTCTTATTTTTTTTATAATACAAATCCCGACAATATTCTAGAAAACAAATTCCGAAAAAAATTAATAAATTCCAAGATAATGAGTGTATCCACTTAAATGGATCACCTGGTAGTGTTTAAAATGTACCTACCTACTTCGTGAGGTTTACCGTAAAGGTCATTGATTTGCAAACATAATCTTAAAATCTTAATAAATATATTATTTTAAATTCTAAGTGGCGCGGTGAAGCTTAAGTTTTACAAAGGTATTTATTTTTATTATTTTTTTTTTTTTTTGATCTGTGCACAACTTTTCTACCATAAATCTGGTTTTTAAGTATAACACCTTTTCTGAAAGAAAATCGGTGTGGGAAGGTATTTTTCTCGATTATCTCAAGAATTTTCTCATCAAATGTGAAAAACCGAAAAAACAGGAAAATGTACGAAATATTTTACTAAAATATTACGATTTTTTTTTCTGTGCACAACTATTCTACTAGCAATTTTGTTCCAATTTACAATGATAATACTTTTTCTAAAAAGAAATTTGACTGGAGTGGTGCTTTAAAGCAATCATTTTTCGATTTTCCCAACAAATGTGAAAAACCGGAAAAAAAACATGGGGAAAACGTAAGGGAAACGGGAAAATCGGTACAACATTAAACAAATATCATTAAAGAATACATATAAAGCCTATTTAATTATTTTACTATAATATGACATACATATTGTTAACAAAGCATTACTATCATCTAAACTCCGATCAGAATCCTTTTTTTGTTAGAAATGGTTTATCGTTGCTTACAAGTATACATTAAATTACCTATAACAGTGGTTGCAACCGTCCCTATTATCCTAAGACGTCTTATTTCGTCTTAAAACTTTTTCAATAATATGGTTGAGTTTAACTATTTCTGAACCTTCGACAAAAGGTTTTTTCAAATCACCAATATATTGAATTATGTCGATGACTTCTATTACAGAATTAAACATTATGTATTTTTATTACTACTATAATTGTAAAAAAAATAAGTTTTAATAAGGAAATTTTAAAAAAACCTGTTAGCCTAATTACTATTATTTATTTATTTATTTTATTTATTACTATTATTCTAATGCTATTATAGTGCTCATCTTCCCTTTAGCCTTATCATTAGTATCGACTAGAGCGCTACCTTTAGTTTCTTTCAATAGCGATTTGCATAGTGTATTAATTACTTTATGGGTTATAGCACAGATTGTAATATGTAACACGATCTTTAACGGTTCTGATGAGATATCTGCTCGTTATCTGTATAACTGCCCCCTTGCCATAACGTTTCCTGTTTTTTTGTTATTCAATCATTCTTTGAGTAAAGGTATTTTTCCTGTGGTTTAGAAAATCTGTTTTCACTCCTGTTTATAAGTCTGGTGATCCAAATTATTTTAAAAATGATCGCCCTATTTCAATCATTCCTCATGTCGCCAAACTGTTCGAAATTTCGAATTACTTATTTACTTATATGTAATTGTTTAAACAATTTTAAACACCATTTATAAAATCAAAAAATGACCTATGTATTTACCAAGTAGATAAAATTAATTTTCAGAAAAAATGCTACACTTATAAATTGGAGCAAGTTTTTCTAAAATAAAAGTGGTCTACAGTATATATATATATTAAAAAAATAAAGTACTATTGTAAACAAATTAAAAAAAAAGTTGTCCGATGATATTGGAGATTTTACCATGTCTAGGTAAGTCCAATATAAGTATTATTACCAAGATTCAAGTCTACGTGTATTTATAACCGAATTACAACAAACACCCAAAAAATAAAATTCCTTTAATGCTCAAAAATGGCTCAACAATTTTGGCGATGATACCGTAAGAAAGTAAATCAAAAGACAACAAAAAAAAGGTATCTTGTGATTATTCGATTAAATCATTTTCTCTGTTATTTTTATAAAATGATGAAATCGTGAAATTATACGTTTTCCTACGTTTTTTCCCACTTAAGTGTTTTAATTTAAAATATGGCGCCGAAAATCAAAAAGTGACATTTTTAAAGTACCATTTAGACAACTTGAGCTTTCAGAAAAATTTCTATACGTAAAAATCGGAGTAAGTTTACTAAGAGAAAACGTATCCACAGACTAGAAAAAAGGAGAAAAAAAAATCATCTTGGTAAAAACAATAGTTCCTCTCGCATCGCTACGCTCGGAATCTAATATAATAATAAAAATAATGTTTAATATTGAAACTTAGACTACATAAATAATTTAAAAGTTTATCGTTTGAAAAATTAATATTAAAAGTATTACAAATCAATCGTATTTTTTTTCGCTTGTAGGTTTCATAAAATAATTTAAAAATAAATATTCAATGTTTTTAATCAAAGATATCATTGTTGTTGAATTAATTATTTGTATAGATATAAATACTTGGATGTTTAATCCATAAAATACGTTGCAATTTATTGTAGAATGATTGCGATAGTTATCCTATTCAAAATTGTGAAAACAAAAATTCTCCAGGACCCATTGTCCATGTATAAAATTATGACGAGGGCCGATTGTCCGTAAACGTTTTTTCAAGGGGACCAATTGACCGTTTCCCGTCCAGTGTCTGGGTTTGTCGCTCAACCTCGAAAAATGGCATATCATATCATTTACAAGAAATCATTCTTCCGTTTACCATCCTTATCACCTCATGGACTTTATAGTTGTAAATATAAGTTAATATAGTTATAATATTGTAAATTTGTATAAACATTTTATGTCAAATTGGCCGATTTAATGTAAGTTAATTAAATAAATAATTTATAATTATAATTTTACCTTCACTTACAAAATATTTTAATACAAATAATAACCTATCAGTTAAACTCTTGAGCAATGGGAAAAAATGTCAACAATTAGAAAAAAAAGTTATACTTACTACATTTGTTTGTGTATTAACGCATTTATTATTATTATTATTTTACTTCTACAGTTTTACCTTTTAAATAATATTATCACACCTTAATAGTTATTGGTAATAAAAACAATTGTTGTGAATTATGTTTGTATTAACATAAAAAATGCATACTTTATAATAAAATAAATAGAAAAACAAAACCATATACTAAAATAATAATAGTATAACAATATATGTATTTATATTTTATACATACTTTAAATACTAAGTTCTTTGAATCTTAATATTTATAAAATAGAAAACCTAATAAAAATTTAATTTGAACTTCATATTATTAAACTAACATATTTTGATTTGTATAAACACTATAAACTGTATAATTTATAGTCTAAATGGAAGAAATTTGGAGGAGATATGGATTGGGTTAATAAGAGTAACTGATCTCATTTTCTTGGGATAAAGACTATAAAGAAGATGGAAAGAAAATATATAATATTTGCGTACATTAATGTAGGTAACTTAAGAGTTTATTAACATTTTATTAGTTTTTTTCAGTTGTTAGATTCTTAGGCATGTCAAGTAATGATGCTAAAAGACGTGCTGCTTGTAAATCAAAATATGTGTCAATTTCCAAACTTCTATTCATCGGTATAACAACTACACCCAATCTAAAAAAAAAAATCAATTTTCATATAGATAAATTAGATATATTTTTAAATGATCGGCATACCATTTAAAAAATACTCACTTTCCTCCTTGAAGCTTATTATTCACAATGAGATTTTTGTGAACAAAATAAAACATTCCATTTTCCACATACTCACCATTCCAATCCTGTCTCCTTGGTCTTTTAATAACATCAAAATTTGCTGGTTGCAATTGCCCTTCTGTATTTAAACATTATTCAAACGATTTAATGAATATTAATAAAATATATTGACAATAGGAACAATACCAGAATCGAGTTTCCAACGCAGTTTATGGCTTCGTGTTACTGAAAAGACAGATTCAAATTGCTGATAAACTGCCATTCTGTACCCTCTAGTAAGATACTCAACTGTAAGGAACGGCGAAGTACACTGTATTATTGCAAAAATGTCCACTTTTGGGTGGTACATACTGAATTCTTTAACAGCACTAAGTGATGAAGCTTCATCGGAAGCCATTTCTGCACTACGATGAAAGACTTTAGCACCAGCCAATTTGGCTTCAGTTGCAATTTCTTTGTCGTCTGTTGATACCCAAACATCATGGAACACTGTAATAGGTAGTTTAAAAATTAGAAACCAATTAATTTAAGACAAATGCAGTTATTTTTTGATGTTCTCTTACATTCACAATCGTTTACAGTATTTAAAGATCTCCGAAGGAGAGTAGAGTTTTGTATTATGGCTAAATTTTTTTTTGGTATTCCTTTACTACCACCTCGAGCCAATATTAATGCAACTACGTGAGGCCTGTGAATCAAAATTTGCATAAAATGGAGTATAATTCTGTCAGAAAAAGTATTTTACATGTACTTACTTATAATTGGACAAGTGATGTTGTTCATGTGTGATGTGACTCCACAATAAATATATAGGAATTACAAACAAAAAAATACTTATAGCGAACAAGAGAAATTGAGAAAAAAGAGCTACCAAATGGTGATTCCTGACAGCAGTCATGATCCAAAAACCTATTGTAAAGAATTGTAGACATATGTTTGGTTCATAAGAAACCACGTAAAACTTACTATCATCTCCTGAATGGTTGAATCATATGTTTATTAATCGGTATTTACTCCCTTGTGGGGTGTTAAGTAAGTATTGATCCACAGTTGCAGGGTGCCAAATGGTTGTCATGGAAACAACAGGGGTAGCAATGTTAAAGAAAAAAAACAGTTTATAAATATATATATTTTTTTTTTTAAAAAAGTTACAAATTGTATTATATATATATATAAAAAAAAAAAAAAAAAAATGGTTTACAAAGTACAATATGGGGTTATATAAAATTTGTTTTACAAGACAAAATATATTTTAAAAAAAATTTAATATTAAACCTATAGTACATACCATCACCTTAAACATTTTAAATTAATAATTAGTTAAATTGTATTATTCATTTGTTTAATCTTAGTTATAGGCTAAAAAGATTAACCAAAGATGCATAGCAAATATATTGATATACCAACCAGTTAAAAAATATTTGTTAAAAAAAAATTAACAAACACAAGCCATTTTTAACATCATAAAAATCACGTAAAAAAAGTACATGTAAAAATATTTATTAGAAATAGTATATTGACCAAATAGGCTATCATGATATATATATATATATATATTTTAAAAAAACCAGATTATTAAATATGTGTTTGCTGTTCTTAAATAATATATAAAATACAATTTTGTTAAAATATTTAGTTAGCAAGTATAAAAATTAAAATAAATAATTGACTAAAACATACAAACAAATTGTTTAAATAATAATAAAAAAAAAAAAAATAATATAAAACTCTATGATTGAGAGAAGTCTTAACATTAAACTTTTATACCACATCTAAAATAAATTTTATTTTAGAAAATCAGATTTCAAAAATAAAACTTTTTAAAGTTGGTAAATAATTAAATAATGAAGGTTTCTATTAAATTGAAATTTTTTCGAATAAATAAATGGAATGTTTTGAAGTCAGATTATCTTTTAAATGACACACTGAATTTATAACATAAAATGAAATATTAAATTCTTTTTATTATTATTATTAAATTTAATGTATAAAAATAAGAAATTAAAAAGAAAAAAAAATGTAACATAAATTTAGTTATAGCAAAAATATAAAATTATTTTGATAATTTGATTTTATTTACTAACCCATAAAATCAATAGCGATAAAAAATATTTTTTTACATTTATAGTTTGATGAAGAGATTAACAAGAAAAAAATTGAATGTATATGAAAAATATAAATAAGTATCTAATGCGAGTATACTAGTATTGTATAATAAAATATTTTTATCAAAATAAATATCATTATCAATATATAAATAAATAACTTTCTCGCATCTTTTATTTAAAAATAAAATATGTGTTCTAGTTCACATGCTTAACTAAGGCACCCTTTAATAAATCTATACTGAGAATGGTGAAATGATATTTGTGTCATCTTCATAACTTCAAGTGTACAATAATAATATTATAAAAGATGTAGTAAGAAACTGAACTGTTACCTGAATAACAGGTACATTTATTTAGTCATATTAATGGTTATTATTATTATTTTTTTTTTTTGGTTAGTAGTTAATAACTAAATAATTATTTTAATTGTTCACATTAGACCTATATAGTGTGAATTACATACACAGATAATCTATATCACGTCAATTGCACACTCTTCATTATCACATTATGCAGCTGTTTCCATTTCTAGGTCTTCCATGAGAGCTAAAGGTGCTCTATGTATCTAAAAAAAAAATTCTATATTAAAAAAACATTATGTAAAAAATAATTAATAAAAAAAAGCCACTACATAGGTTGAAATATAAATGTATTTCTAAAAAAATGTATTAGTTGTTCAGCATTTTCACATGAGAAAATCATAAAGTTCTGTAAAATTTGTTAAACAAATATAATTTTATTAATATGAAATTTATATTGATCAATAAAAAATATACATACATGTATTAACTATTTGGTATTAACATTACATATTATATGTAATGGACCATACTTAGTGGGAAAATAGAGATATTATATAATTAATTGAAAATTGTAGGATATAACTGAATCAGAATTTACGTTGATATTAAATTCAAAGTACCTAAAGTAATTGAATATATTTTTTTCACAAACACTTTATAGTTTGCTCCTTGCATTAAAACTTATTGCTTTTAGTGCTGATTTATATATATATATAATATACAGTATACACAATATTATTATACCTTGATAGAAAACAGTATCCAAATATATTGAGTGTATTAAAATATCCATATTATTTTCCCTACGTACATTTTTAATTTGTTATGTTGTATACAATTTTAATTTCACCCTCACACCAATTATAATATGTTTAAGAGAAATCAATTTGATATGATTATAATTATATTAAAAATATATATACAAATTAGATTTTTTTTTTTTTTAATAAATCTGTTAACATTAGATATTTTGTTAACGTCCATATTCCTTGAATAAAATTAATTAATTATCAGTTATTTCAATACCCACACCAGTTATCTTTTTATGTAACATCCATTTTGATTATGATTAAAAGTACATTGATACTACTTGTAAGCTAAACTAAGTATGTAGCAGAAATTAGCAAAGAGCAATTTGGACATGCGCATAACTGCACAGACAATTTATGAAGAAGTTTGTCTAACTTGCTTATAACATTCAACGTTGAAAATTATAAATATAAACAAACATATTAGCCTTCGCATAGCCATATTTTATTTAGGACTGGCTAACCTCGAATTTGGCTTGTGTCGATGGATCATCTTCTACAACTAAACTTGTGGATAAATCTGACAAATGAAAAAAACTATTTAGGTGCTAATACTTAGTTATTTAATTAAAAATATACAACAAAAACTAAGTGCTATAATAATAAAAATAATAATTTACTGTAATAATAGGTGATAGTTCAAATATGTGTTTAAAATTAACAATTTAATACTCACTGTCAACAGTAATAGATTCATTAGTAATCACTGTAGTAGAATTTGAAGTTTTTACAGTTGTTGTAGTGGTTGAGGATTCATGTTTAGTGACCAGTTTCGAATGATTATTAATTTCAACATTATTAGATGTTGATGTAACATTCAGATTAGAGTTTGAACTGTACATAATAGTAAAAAATAATTTAAATAAAATATGCAAAACAAAATAGTCAATTTATTTATAAATATTTCCTTACTTTCCCAAGTGATCTTTGATAGAATCTATGGTAATATCGCCAACCGAGAGATCATTGCTATTATTTAATTGTGATGTAGTATCACCATTTTCTTGTGTACCATTTGTTAAACCTATAATACAAAAATAATGAAATTTATTGATTGACTCAAGCAAAAAATACATACCGTTCACTTTTGGAAAATCATCTTGTTCATCATCTGTGTAACCATTAATGGGTGTAATTGATCTACTTTTTGGTAGATGATCTCTGGTAGGTAAATTCAATGAACAATCAACCTGTGTAACACTAGTTGCAGATACAGAAATTCTCTGTAGTTCACTACTTGAATGTAAATACAATGCTTCACCATAACGTGTGAATGATAAACTTGAAATACCACTATAAATCATATATATACAATTATTATGAATATGTCCAAAATAAATTGTTCAATAATATACTTAATATCTTCTCGTCGAATAACAGCAGCATGTATTTGTCTTCTAAGATCTGGTACACTTAGTACTATAACTTCACCTAAATTAGTTAAACAAAGGAGACAACTTTCTGCATAATCGCTAGTTTTAAAGTAAGCCATTGACATTCGGCGAACCCTAGCACCTTCAGCTGCAGTTAATTTAAGTTTGCACACAGGTTTTAGATTAGGTAAGGAAAAAATCTAAATCAGAAAATTGAAATAAACTTAGTGAATTGAGATTTTGGATAGTAAAAAAAGGTATACCTTAAATTGTTCTTCAGATGCAATAATGACCTTGTGAGGACCACATATATCTAAAGGTTTACCCGGCGTGCTATTTTCTTGAACTTCAGTGACAGATCGGTTTTCTGTGTCTATCACTGTAATTCCGATCACAGGTGCACGATGTTTTAATTGAATTTCTTTTCCTAGTTGAGCTGTAACTCTTCTTTCTTTTCTTTTATCATTTGGTGGTATATTAACAGTAAAAATATATACAGAACCATTGTTTGTACCAGCCCACATTGTTGGTGTAATGTGAGAAGCTAAATAATTAAATGCATAATTTAAATTAAATTAAATAATAACAAAATTAAAAATTAATATCAATATAAATTATTTATAAAATACCTGTAACAATGAATGTTTTTGTAAAACTTAAACATCGAACCATACTTCCCAACGCATCATCAACTGGTCTGGCTTCAATAGCTCGTTCTACAGGACGCGCTTCCATTGGAGATACAGGCCCAATGCTTAATCATGTCATTTAAAAAGAGTAATTTCAAAGTTAGTTTATCAAACTTGTATATTATATTATTAAATAAATAAAAAAAAAAACTAACTTTTCTCGCTTTCTATCAGGTGTAATACTTCCTCCTTTTTTGTCATTAACTATTCTGGTAGAGTTTCTTCCTTTTCGAAGTCTTCGAAATGATTCTCTTAAGGACTTTTTAAAAGATTTTCTTCTAGATATAGGAGTATCTCCAGCAGTAGACAAGTCTGTTGATACAAATTAAGTAAGTTATTCAATTTATACCAATTAGGTATTATAAACACTTTATTTGTATTTTTACCATTAGGGTTTAAAGTGCATTTTGTCAAAACAGGAGCTTGTCGATAATAATCATAAAGTACCAAACCATGAGCTGTACCCGCAGCAACCAAAGACCAATTAGAATGTAAAGCTACAGCTGTTATTGATGCAGGCGGATATACTTGTAAAACAGAGGTTGGTTGAAATCCTGATTTAAATGTTAGACAAGTCATATTTTTGCCATTATTATTATTGGCTTCATCTCCAGATTGTTTTAAACTCAAACGTTCATGACCTTTCCAAACAAAGCTTTCTCCCACAACATTCATTTGTATAGCCTAAATAATGAACACAAAATTTAAAAAATATATAAAAATATATTTAAAAAATTACATACTGATTAGTTTAATGTGTAAACAGATTATAAATTTATATTCAGCATATTTAGAATTGTCTTTAATATTATGGTAATTTGATCTATTATCAAATGTATATGCATTTCTATCATTGTCAAATTGTTGAATTTTTAAAGTAAAATGTAGCACCTTTATTTCATTTGAAGATGATTTATCATTAAATTTGCATATTATAACGTGACCAGCTGTACCAGCAACAATCATTGTACCAGTTCGAGGACAAAGAATAACTTTTTTAATTGCTAGTCGTGGGTCATCAGAATATGGATCAAAATTTCCAACTTTCCTAAATGGTGGCCACTCTTCGTCATCTTCTTCCGGGGCTACACTATTACTGGAATGATTATCTGCATCATCACCCACCAACACCCATGATGATTTGAACACATATATTGGAAGTAATGGTGTTCCATTTGCAACCCACAGCTTAACAGAACCATCTTCGTGGCCTGTAATTAAGAGGTCTCTATTTTGTTCATTTGCTATTTTCACTTCTCCTCCATCAACTGGCCAATCCTATCAATAAAAGTATAATATATTGAAAACATTAAAATTTAATAATGTATATTATGACACAAAAATATGTGGTAAACATAAAATTAATGAAATATCAAGAACTATTAAAGATAAATAACAACACATACATTCGATGAAAAATTATTATCATTTTGTAAATTTCCGGCAGAAAATATATTATTCCAAAGGTCTTCATTTATATCCGAAACAAAAGTAGTGAATGTTATAGCACTCGCATGAATAGATACAAGATATGGTAATTGAATTAACTGCCAATCTTCAGTAGATAAATCAATACCAACTATTTCTTCTTCAGCAAGAATTATAAGAAAACTACAACCTAGAAATAATTTAATTAATCAAACAATTTAACATTTAAATAAACCATTTTAACAAATAATTATTCATTAAATTACCATTTTCATCAACTGAAGCAGTTGTAGTAAAAAAATCTATTACTTTTGAAGTAAGCTCAAAAGCTACTTGTTTAGTAGTTCCTAATCGAACAGTAATAGCATGGCGATCACCAAAACATGCCCGGGGCATTCCACCAGAAAATATAAGAAAACTTTCACTAAAAACAAATTGTTGTATAAAAACTATATTGATAAAATTATGTTTTAAATTAAATTATGTGTTTAAATTATTCATATACTTAAGATCTTGAGCAGATTTTTGGCAAATTATTTTAGGAATTGGTTTGCATGGAAAAGGACCATATATCGTATTAGTGTTGTCATTTTCATCGGATGTTTCACTTATTTTCCAGTTTGTCACAGAACCATCATTATGAGATGAATAAAAACTCTCTCCATTTTCTTCCCAGTAGATACTTTCAACTTGTTGACTGCTAACAAATGTCTAAAATTGATTAAAATAATAATTATGTTCATTTTTTAAACATCAATTTACTTTAAATTATATATTATCTTACTTTTACAGCAACTGAATTTAATCGATCCCATAAAACAATTAATCCGCGACTATAAGCTATTAAAATATGATTTTGATTTCCAGGTTGTTCTGCTATTGCTTCAACTGCACCAGGATTCTTTTTAAATTCATCTGAAACCCTATAGTAAAATGTACACCATAATTAAATAAAGTACAATTGAATTTTTTACATTATTAAAAACATAATATCATTAATAATTTATGCGTTTACTTTTGCATAACAACATCTTGATAAATAATATTGTCTGATAATTCAAATGTTGATAAATCAATAAAAAATATATTTCCTCCTTCGGTTCCAAGTAATAAATTCTCACAACTGGATTCCAGGCACACAGAGGATATTTGTTTAAGCCTTAAAATTATTAATAGGTATAATTTAATTCACATTCACAAATTAAAAACAATTTTAACACCTACTTTCCCTCTAAAAGATATGATTGGACTTCATCAATAACCATGTCATTTATTTCCCAGTAATGAAGACTATTGTCATCAGATAATGACACTAAACGGCCCTGAATAAATTAATTTTATTATGTTCATTAGCAAACTAATATACTCTTTTTCAATCATAATAATTATGTGTAGCATAAACTATAATTACTTGATTTGGTACAAATATTAACTTTGTAATTGCATGATCAGAACATGGTAAATGACCATAAAATTCAACACCAGGTTTACCCAACCTACACACTTATGGTTAAGAAAAATATTTCAGCAATAAATTTTAATTGTTTTTAAGTTATTTAATTAATATTTTTTTTCAACAAATATACTAAGTTAAGAGTTTAAATTAACAGCCAATAGAAAAAGAGTTTCAAACATTCTTCAAGACTTTTTATTTAGTTATTAAATACATAGTGTATATCATGTGGGGGTTTACTAGATACTGAAAATAATATGGTTTATCTTATTAGGATAACAGTTTAATCAATGTAATATTTCATGAGATTATTATATAGTCAATTATTTAAAATTTATTACAATGTATTTATGCATATTTGATTGGTTTATTTATTTTAGTTTTTCTTGATGTAGAGCTCAGATTTAAAAATGTTAACCTATGTAGGTTTGTTCTATATTCATAATAGTGATAATTAAAGTATTGTTTCAAATAAATAATGACAGCATGGGGTCTTAGATCAATGAATGGAACCATAGTTTTTAATAGGGTATTCATCTTGTCGCAACAGATTCACTAAAAAAATCAGATTAAACACCTTAGTAATACTCTCTAATAAACAGTTTTCTAGTCAGTTGTTCATTTACAGAGCATATTTTAATAAGGCATAGAGACTTGATATTGAACTCATTCAATTTGAAAGCAACATAGATAATAAAATATGTGAATTGTATTTGTTTAATTTTATTGGATTTAACTATATACATATAAAAAAAAAATGTTACTGAATTATGAGGGGAAGGATTAACATATCACTCATCATATTTTATAAAAAAAAACAATCTCGAAAAATAAAAATAAAAAAAAATGATTATTCTGCATACAATATTTTGATTTCAGTGCACTAGTAAACATGAAAAACTATCATTATGTTCTGATAGTTATCATATTGGTAACTACTGTATAATTTAACATGTAAAACTTTCCAAAACAAACTATGTACCTACCTATAGGTATTTGGATAATATATGTACAACAGTTTAAATTTCAAAAATTAATAGCTACATTTTTTGGTTATTAAATGAACAACTAAACTAGAATAATATATTTATATTGTGAATAAAAAAAAAAATTAATGTTGATGGGTAGTTGCTAATAAAAGTACCATTCAAATATTTAGTGTGTTTCATTGATTATTAACTACAGTGAATTTATTAATTAAATAACAAAGACAAAACTAAAGGTATCACTAGATTATTGACGCTTGATTGGATGACCAGAGTTCTCGAGTATATAAAATTAAATAATTTAAGTAAAAGGATACACTTTGATTGATCCAGTTGAAGTTCCAATAGCCATAATGCGTAACAATGGATCCCAAGCAAGCGCTGTCGGTTTATTTGGAAATCCATATTGTAGAGTCTAAAATTATCAGGTATACTAGGTTAGTATTGTATTTAAACTGATTATAAAAATTAAAAACTTTTAGTTTGACATTTAAAATTAATTAATCGCAAAAATAATAGATTGATGCCAGTAACCGGTTGGGTAACATACGGTACATGGAGGATTAAAGAGTAATAGACTAATTATTGAAAATTTAATATGACAGTTGACACACGTTTGTGTGTACCAAAAAGACAAAAATCATTTTTACCCTTCTGAAAGCAAACAGGTCTCTTTGGATTTTTTGACGTTCTGCCGAGGGCTGTTGGCCCTTGCCACGGATGAATTTGAGCATCTCGTACCGTTTATTGGGTTCCTATGGAATAAAAAAGACACAGTTAAAAACCCGGCACACGAACGACGGACACCGTGCCGCCTAGACGGCGAAAACGACGTAATCACTCACTGTTAGGTAGACTAACGAAATTGTTCAAAACGATGGCATCACGACCGGCGAGCACGGGCTACGACACTGCGATTCCTGTCGAAATATTAAAAAAACAACGGGGCATAACAAAAAAATAAAAAAAAAAACATTGACGACGACAAGAACGACGCGATAACAACACCGTGACGACGATAACGCAGAGCAACGTCAGTCGGTTCGACAACACTCGGAACTCCTAACTCACGTACAACCATTCCACCTCCACAAACAAAAACAAATTTGACCACCGGCACTATTGAGTGATGACGAGTATGATATTATTATTATTATTATTCTATAATTTGTGCGGCGAGAAGACCGCGTAAGGCAAATTACGCGCACGCGCACACACAAACGTCGACGGCGAGAGTCTGAGAGACGTTACCTGTGACATCGAGGGTAAGATCTCTACTCCCTAGTCCCCAGTCTTTTTGTGTACAGTTTAGTACTTTGCCAGTCGTCTACGGCGAGAATCCAGACGTCACCTTTTATCCGTGTTACAACCACATTGATTATGATATTATTATGGTAGACAGTGTATTTGGCGGAGCAACGCTCGTACTATGATAAGTTATAGAGGTATGTCAGCATTCTAGTTCTGCGCATTTCGTTATATTGCTTTTCTTCAAATATTATCAATAACATAATATTATATTGTATTCCTCTGTGATATTATTAAAAAAAAAAAAAATAATAAGGCACAATACTACAGCCAGTGCTCTAATATTATAATATGCTTCATCATACTATCATAGTGTGTACCAACCAATGAGAGCGGATAAAAGCAATATGGCCATTATTCCGCAAACGCGTCCTAGTGTTGACATACCTACCTCTTTATTTTATTATGTTTTTTCATAGAATATGGTGCACAATTCTTTGTGGCTCGTACTAGTCGTAGGTACTAGGTACTGTCTGTGGTACTACGATCGGGCGTCCTGTGGATACCGGCGATAAAGCTAAAATCGCTATCATATTATAGATCCCCACCGCTAATCGCGGTAAAAAATATAATCGTGCGTGTAAATCTATGTCCATACCTTACCTACTACAACTTTACTACTGCAGTTACTATTTGTCGTGTTATTTTTTTCTCACCTTTGGTTCAACAACCTCCCCACCGCGTGTTTTAAGGAGGTTGAAGACCTCGGACCCCCCACCCTCTGCGTGCCAGGTGGGGCAGTGGTTTCTCGACGACGACGCCCGGGCACTTTTTTCGACCACTGCACGCACAAGTCCACCGGCAGTGTTCCTTTCAATGACCGTATATAGAGAATTACACACACACACACACGCTCATATGTATTATTTTTGCGTCAATTTCGCTATACAACGCCGCGAACCGTTGCGTATACCTACATAGGTATACCGTATACATGATATTATTATTTGTATTGGTATATGTATATTATATAGTGTATATACGTTTTTTATATACCCACATTGAAACGCGTTGTATAAAATTATTACGTGACGCGTACGCGCGTATTGTGTATGCAGGACCTCGGACGTGTATCACGCGTGTCGTGTACGAGCGTTGAACACGATTTTTTTTATAATATAATACCTATAATAATAATATTTTAAATCTAAAATTTTAGACGGGGGAACCTATAGTAGTGGTCAAATATATCAAATATATTGTAATAAGTATAAGTAATACCTACGACCCGCCGGACATAGTTACATATTATATTGGTAGGTACCTGCACTATAGCCGTCATACTGCAAGGTTCTTCTAAATTTTACGTCACAGTATATTTCGCTATTAAATATTTATTTTTTTTTTTCTTAATGAAATACTCAACTCATTGACGTGCACAAATAGATGTAGGGGAAAGGGGGTAAGGGTTGTATCCCTCCCACGACTAGTTTAAAAATAAAAAAAACCACGAGTACCTAATTATTTAGTAATTTTATCTTGAATAATCTTATTAATATTTCGTTCGAGTAACGAGGTAAAGCTTGATTTATTGATTAAAAATGTAGTAATAAAATAGTACTAAAATTCCATAGCCCGTAAGTTGGGTGTAAGGGAGAAGATTTATTCGCAGCTATTATTTTCTACATCCCCGCCCATTTAAAACTTTTGGACACGTCATTAAATCCCGCTTTAGTATAAGTATGTGAACATTTTTTGGGATCATAATATTATGATTAAGGGCTATATACCTATGCGAATTCTATTTGAATATATAGGAATACATATTTTTTGAATTTCGTAATTTGTACGGGTAAATTTTTTGGGGTGATATTTAATAAATATTTGTTGGTTATTACCACGGCACCCTGGCAGTCAAATAACCATAAAAATCCAGATTTCAGTCGATGGACCGATGCTCGTATATTAAATAGTGTATATCTACCTATGTTAAAATAAAAATGTCATCAAGATGTACACTTTGGTTGGACCAATTTATACTCTTGTAAACGGTTTTGCCCACCCCTCCCCCCTCAAAAATAAAAATAATAATAATGTCTGGATCCACCACTTGACCTCAGATAGTTGTGTTTTAAAGTTATACAATTATAATTAGTCGATTACGTTGATAATTTAAATAGCAGCGACGCATTAGCAATATTAATACGTTAAAAGCACGGTCAAGACCAGTGCTGCCAAATATTATTATTCAAAAAAGTGGATGATAATTCCTAAAGTACCGTAAGTAGCAATACAAATTTTGAATATTAAATATCAAAATCAATTTTTAATTTTTCTTCGAATTATTATTAAAATTACAATGTTTTAAATTAAATCGTTCTAAACTATAATATTATGTGTTTAATAGGCGTAGTATAATTGCGAATGTTTATATCTTTTCATATTTCACACACAAAGTTTATGCATATCAAATTCAAAAATTGCTGCTTTGTTTCTACATAATATTATGAATACTATGATTATTGTTATTATATTTCGTGATATAACCGTGACAAAATTCTGTTAAACTCTTAAACTGTTCATGCCTACTAGCTATATGATTTCATTATAAACGATATGTATAGAAAAAAAATACTACATTATGCTCAACTTTTTTACTACAACATGAAGCTCTTAAAAAATAATTTTTAAGTGCATAACTTATACAAGTTATGGTTCCCATCCTGGCACTATGTCACACCATGATTAAATTAATAAAATATTTGTTTCTTAATGAAACTTTTACTTTTAATTTGTATTAATTTAATTAAGTAGACATTAAATAAGACATTACGTTAATTGATTAATGAATTTGACCGCTATAGCATAGTGATAACCACTGACATGAAATGACCACTAGTCATCAGTGAGTGGTGTCGCCGTGATGTATTGATAAATATTATTTTAAGAAATCGCACACAAAACTTATGAAAAACTTAACGATGTTTCAAAATGGAAAAAATACCTAAATATGCAACATGAAATTACAAATTAAACTTTTTCATAATATGAAACAAATTTCTTTTTAGTTGGCTTTTTTTTACGGTTGCGCAAAACAAATATGCAAATGCTAGAAGTCCTCTGTCCCAAATATAAACAAAACTTGCAAAAGTAAGAAATTCAGTAGGTAGGTATTATTCACTAATAAGTAATAAGTGATCAATTTGTTTTTATTAGCAATTTAATCATGGTATGTACTATCAATAATTATTTTTTTTTTCCGAATTGACTCATTATTTCGTACAGACAGTTCGTTTTAGATTCTGAGTAGAGTGAGGAATGTATTGATTTTACAATGATGTTTATTTATTTTTATTTTATTATCTGTGAACATCTTCAATTTTTTTACAAGACATTTTGCTCAGATTTTCAAGTGTAGCATTTTTTCTAGAAGGAATTCTGACTGGGATTTTAATTGTTTTGATTTTCCCAAGGGTTTTTCATAACATATGGGAAAAGTCGGGCAAAATCATAGGGAAAACCTGGCAAATTTACGAAACGTACCTATTATTTTCAAATCGTAAATATTACGGCCCTTCAAAGCATATATAACCGTACTCCGCTGAGAATCGCTTTTCGTTAGCAAAGATTAATCGTTGCGTACATATATACATTACATTCCCCTCTATATCTTACCTTACCATAACTTCTCACCTACAACAGTGGCCCAACCATCGTGCGAAGTATGTCAGTTTGTTTTTTCACATTTATGTTTTTAGTGGGCGATGTTACTGCCTTACTAATGACCCTACAGTATACTTAATACATTATTGTTATTACTTTATGTTGAATGTTGATATATAATAGTGAAACCCTACAAACTATATACTTGGGTAGGTACATGGCATTGTATATACGTATGTAATTTACTATTGGTTTATAGTTTGAATATTATACATATTATATATATATTACCTAATACAGGTAAAGGTATAGGTATCTACTAGTATTCTTAAGCGTGATTAAGTATGTATGTAGGTATATTAAAAAAAAATAGTATTCCGAAAATTATGTAATAATATTGTTATACGTATTACATAGGCAAGTACCATATAAGTATAGATTATCGTGCGACATGTGTATAATATAATTTAAATATTCAATTACAATATGTATAAGGGGAAAAAACCTATAATTTACAATAAGACTTAAAAATATTTCACGCATAGGTATATTATAATGACATGTATAATGGATATATCTAATATTAATTATTCTATTACTCGGATATATAAAAACATTTTTTTTTTTTTGTTTTAGGGGGGGAGTCGGATATAAATCGTGATAGTATTTGCCCGGTTCAATATTTTTCAGGATAATACAGGTTGTGCCACGAAGATATGCCCCTCCAGAATATCTACGGAGATAATAAAGATAATCAAATTCTATTTTTTTTTTTTATATATATATATATTACTCGTTGAAATAAGGATTACAAATATTTATA